CTGTAAGTAGACCTCTCAGCCTACTGTAAAGTCTGAAGCACGTGGAGGATGGCATACCCACAGGGGGGTTATTTTGATAAAACCATTATGTATTTATAAGGTAAGTTTTAAAGTGTTTGCTTTACTACAACTATAAAGTCATAACCATCGATGTATAATAAAAATACATTGATTGGTCAAAACACTAGAAAACAAGCGGTAGTGTGCGTATGAATTGTTCTATTTGGGCGAAGTAATTAAACAAAACGTAAACTAACAAGAAAAAATATACATAAGGCATCACAACACTCAAGCGTTACCGAACCTTAAAATTGTATTCTGTTGGTTCAGGAGTCATGAGAATAGATCTGTAATGGATTATATTTGATCCAAGTAGACAAATATACTTGCTTTATTGTTATCATTGAACTGCTTTATTGTTGTGTTTTAAAATATTATAGTTGGATTGAATGGATTCAACTACAAAACAATGTCCTCAGTTCTGTATACACCGTCACACTACAACCGTGTAAGATAAATCACGACCACCCAAGCACGGTTTTATTACATCATAGAACAAACCCCGCCGTTTCACAACCGTTAAGTCGAGTTTAATTTAAAAATAAATGAACCTTTCTGGACAAGATAATCCTCTGGATACCCTCGTTCAAGCGACGACCACGATTGCACGTTTTGTAGCTTCTAAATCCCATTAATAAATTAATGCGTTTAAATCACTCCTGATGGAAATATCAGTTCTAGGAATAGCGATGGCTGGGATTAGTATTAGCGAATAGGCTTAGACTTTGAGCACACTGCCAACTGGATAGCAAGACGTCAGGACGAACCGGTGACGGATGGTGGTGGTGTAGGAGGCTGTGTCCAAAACCCGGTAAATCTCTCCCGCCATTTACACGTCTTTGGCGGAGGAACATTCAACATTCCCGCCGTGTTCTGTGATTCATCAGCCGTCTTTGTCTCAAACGCAGTTTGTTGTATTTAGAGAACGACACATCCATTATGTAGAATGAAAGAGTCGAATTGTTGTTTTACTATTGGACTGTTTCTATTGACCTGTTATCTTTGAAGTTTTTTTCAGCGCCAAGAAAAAAGTAAATTTGAATCACCTGAGATTCCTACAAAAAGAGTAAACTTCAATAAAGCTGAACTTTATGAATATGTCTATTTGATTTGCAATACCATCATTAATTAAAATGTATGATACTTGGGCCTAAAGTGACTCTTTTTGACCCCAGCTCAAGTTTTACCTCGGCCAAAATGAGCGAGGGTTAAAAAGTCATTTTTGTGTGATGAGCTACATTTTTCGTCATATTGCATCATTAAGTTAGAAAACGAAATATTTGTATGTAAGGATAACTTCTCAAAACACCTTCCAGATTGGTTTCAATTCTGGTAATGCAAATAAGCAGCTGTTTAGTAAGTGACTCAATCATTTCGTCTATTACGATTGTTGTGTTACAGTACATTATACCATCGATATGTCGAGCAATCGACAACAATGGAGTAAAATCTTACCTAATAAATCTATCGATAAATAATTTCGATCGATACGATTGCCACAATTGGAATTTACAACTGTTACAACAGCTGATTTTTGCTCCCTAGAGACTAAAAATTATACTTTAGACCCACAACGCATGCATTAAAAACGGCTGTTTTTGCTGCATTATGACGAAAAAAATATTTCGTCTGCAAGCACAATGAACAGCACAGTTACATGTTTATTTTTATTTTTCAATTTAACAATACCTGAAACATTATTATTATTTTTGTCAGGTGTGAAGCCCTCTCATATTGAAATTTAATATTGTAGTGTAATCTAATGTTAAAACATTGCGTTTATTAAATTTCCGCCCTCTTGTTTTCACTCTGCCGAGTGAAATATTTGTAGCTTTGGTCTATTCTAGGTATTAGAAAAACTGATTGCACAATTTATTCTTCAGATTTCAAAAAAGTATTAAGAAATTAAAAGATATAAAGGGTGTCCCAATAAGAACGCCGGATTTGAAATGTTAACAAACCGTATATTTTCACGGTAAATTTACAATATGAAACATGAATCTTAAAGCATAGTTTCTCCAATTAGTAATGGAATAATATGCCCTGTAAGTGCCCCCCTGATGCCCTGATGACAAGCCCGACATCTCTTGACAAAGTTTTCTATCACTTTTTCACACACTTCCTGTTGAATTCCATTAATGGCACGAATAATTTCCTCCTTTAGTTATTGGATTGTTTTAGGATTATTGGCGAAAACAAGTGACTAAATATCCCCAAAATAAAACTTAGTACATTTTTTCGAACTTAGAAATCAATCTTCGGACAGATAACTCATTTGGTGCATTGTCCCGGCCGAAAATAGCGCGCAGCTTCCGTACTTGTAGTGACTGCAATTATGACCACGCGTTGATCTGTCGTGTTGCATACTGTAACTACAAAATGGGACCTAATACTGATAACATTGCTGATAATTTGGGAATTCCTATTGAAATACACATTAGTTCAAGACACTCATGAAATCCGGCGTTCTTACTGGGACACCCTTTATAACAATTTAACATTGGGCCAGTTAGTGGTTAGTGCTGGACGATTTAAGCTTATCAAACTTCTACGTTATATTGATATAAGAATAAAAAATACCAAAATTCAAAAATAATCGAGTTAATATACATCAGGAAATTTGTTTGCCAAATGTCGTATTAGACGAATTCAAATCGTTGGTACTCACTAAAACGACATAACTGGACTAAATGCATCTTAACAACCAACCATGAACTTGCAATCTAACTGTCCTGGCACCTCTCCCCATTTGTACAGTAAAGTAGGAACCTATCATAACCGTTCTATTTCGAGTATGTTATTTACAATAAATCCTACAGCTTAATTCCCGGATTAAGGACCTAGTTTACTAACATATTTCCCTCACTTTACAATCATAGATGACTTGGCTAGTGGATTAGAGCAAGTGACATGCATAAAATCTAGTACAAAATAACGGAAAAGGTGGTTTCGATTTATTTGGCTATAGAACATGGTGAATATCTTTCAAAGCAAGTACATTCCATTCTGAAATTACCTTTCGTTAAACTATAATGCCGTAACCCAGACCATCAAGCCAAAAATGTCCCACGATACAGTCAGCCAATAAAAACAATAAACTTTGGAAATAATTAACGTAACAATGACTTTTACTCAAGCGCTACTTTATATACAGGGTAAGGCAAAAGTCTGGAACCCCCCAGTTAACTTTTTAACGCGTTGCAGTAGAAAAACCAAACCAAACACATATTAACAACATAAGAAATTGCACTTTTTCATCAAAGTTACAACTTTGCCCCAGCCCCCAAAATGGGGTATTTTGGTGGCAGCCCCAAATTTTCAAACGTAAACACCTATCATGTGACCCCTAATTTTAAAGGGTTTATCAAGAAAAAATTGAATGGCGCAAACCAGAGGTCAATATCGCACTCCTAATCAAAATGGAGTGAAGCTTACCTCATAACAAATGCAATATTTTAATCAGGGTAGGGATATTTTAATTTTCAAGAAAATATATAGGTAATACAATAAACTAGCTATTACCCACGAGTTTCACCCTGTTTGACTTCATAAGTATGAATAAAACCATTGATTGGTTAAGTTAAGCTGAAATAAACAAAACAGAATACAGTAATACAAACAATCACACCTGATTTTAATCTATACTATTATATAAACATTTCATGGTGTCTGTGTGTGTGTGTATTACTAATAGGTGCAAAAACTACTGAACCAAATGGCTTAAATTTTACAAAAATATAGCTACCATACCAAGGACCATAGCACTATTCACATTTAGATACTGACCTTAGGCTTTGCCCCTTTGGTTTAAAAGTTTTGAGGTGACGATTTTAAAAGTAAATTGATTGGTCTCCATGGCTGCAATGAGAATCTCACAATGTTTACATTTGCTCTGACTTCAATGTAAATAAGAAGAACTGCCAAATTGCATATTTCACAATTTGAGACAGCTGGTCCAATGAAATTAAATATAATATTTCACACAATTATGAGGTTGGTTTATTTTTTAATCTAAAAATTTATCAAAGATCATTTATTCAAAAACTATGCCAATGATTATAGAAATAAAAAACTATTCTAAAAGCGTCGCTGTATCAACTCAGGCTGTGCGTTCGATTTTTTAAGTGTCTTGTTATGAAAATAATGTTACTGTATTGATATATTTTCATGGAAACAGTAAGAAAATTACAATGTATAGATGTTTTGTATTAATTTGGAGGCTACTTTAAATAAATTCGAACTGCTTAACAAGTGTTAGATTAACTTAACATAGCTTGCACACCAAATTGTTTTTTATATGTATATTTAGGTAAATTTAGTTATTGTGTTTTGCTCAATCTATGCTTAAATTAAACATAAGAATATCATCAATAACTAAATTGTACGTCGTTGATTTTTGTGTTCTAAAATCTGTTGTATATGTGTAACTATATTTAATTATCAAATGGTTATACAAAATATTCTTATTTTATCTTAACATAGCTTTCAGATAACATTTACTTTATTTGATACATTTATTATTTGTGTCCTTGATCCTTGATGCTTTGATAATCATATTAGTTTTGTCTGCACAGTTTGTCAAACCCGTTTAAAATAGTTTTTAAGTAATTCATTTGGGTTAGTTATGTGGTAATGTGTATTCTTAATCGTGGGACTAATGGTTTGTCTGAAATAAATAGTGGACACCTTTTACGAGATTCACCCTGTATACGCAAGGTGCATAAAATGATATTATTTTTATCTGAGGCTTTAAATAAATTTTATCGTTAGTCCCAATACATTTTAACGAATAGTGTTTTGAGCCCTGGGGATATACAAATGAAAAATAGTATCGGTCCCGGGTCTAGGTCTTGTCATGGCACCTACGGTGACCGCCTTTTATCACCAAAATTGGTAATTTATCACCAAACCAGTTAATATTTAAAAAGTGCAATTCTTACCTCCATTAGAAGAAAACCTGTTCATAGAGTTGGTAAAGGTGTGCAACCTCTCTGCTAGGTACTGCACTGTAGTCCCAGACCCCTGAAAATTAACTAAATTACTCTTCTAAATAAAACATAATCATTAGGTAGTTATTGAGATAATATGTACATATCCTTTAAAACATACATAAGGATACCTGTGCAAGTAGATTTAATTATGTGATAAAACTAATTTAATGATTGAAACTTAATTACAATGAAATTTTAGTTACATTGTTGGTTCATAAAATGTGGCTTTTAAAACAAGATTACAGATTATTCAAAGTGGGTTAAAATTTGGCAAAGCAATTTGTGTAAGTCAATACAATATTAATATTAATAATATTAATATAAGTTAGTACAATTAATAGTTAATTAGTTTTACCTACGACCGTTTTTTAAAGTAGCCGTTTTAGTACAGATCTTAGAATTGAAAAGTTTCTCATACAGCATTGTTTACTTTCATAACAGCATAGTTTTACTCATAATAACACGGGTAACGGGCCAATGAGGTTCAAGGATTGAGAGAGAAGAAGTAAAATTGTAATGATTCGATCTTCAACTAATCAGCTGTTCAGGCCAATTTAATTGTTGAGTGGTGCAATTAGTGTTTGGTACAACTGCAATGTTTCTATGCATCACTTTCACAGTGGCAATGAGAGGTTATAAACGAAAACATAACCTCTCTTAGAAGTTCATGAGAAGTAATTTTTAGTAATTAAAACACTTTCATAGGTAAAGTAGTGTACACCACTCGCGTAAATAGTGTTAAAACCACTAGTATAAGTTTTTGTGTCGTTAACACTATCTTTACGCAATCGTTGCGTAAACTACTACCAAACCATCCCACCGGCAATATTTAAACTTATAATCTTTTAAAAATATATTTAAAGAGAGAATTTCACTTTCTTCGTTCTACACGCTCTTGAACAAGTAATTTTATTCGCCTCTTTCCAGCCTTTTTGTAGCTTCGGACCAGAATAGAACCCGTAAACTGTGAGTTGTGATATCGTTGGTGACTAGAGATTCCCGTAAGTCACAAAGGATTAGAGTAAATAATCGTGAAACTCCCGCGCATTTTACAGCCCTCGAGAGAATCCGGCGGGAGCTTTTAACGTGCCTAACTCCGAAAATGAGAGCACACGAATAGATGCCTCGTAAAGACAAAGGTTGTTATACTTAACTTTCGTCTGAATGTTTAAATGAATGTTACTCTTAACGGAGGAATTTATTTGTAAAACTATTCTTACATACGTCATATTCTTAATTTACTGATTGTTCATTGCACGGTTGATCTAGATGCCAAGGGTGTTAAAAATTAGTAAAACCATATTGTTTTTGTTTCGATTAAGATTATTCGTTAAGATGAATGTTTTAGTCTATTGTTTATATTGTATGGAATTGCTCGGTAAGAGAAGACTCAACAAATAATCAGTGAGGTCAATGAGACTTGCGAAATACGACGGAAATGCAAATATTTCGTGAGCTACACCAGCGTGCGTAGTTCAAGGCGAAATTTAATCATTTTTGGGCTAAAATGAGTACTATGGTATTATACGGAGGCCATATATTTTACAACTGTGGCGGATATGTTTGGTTGGTTTATCATAAATATGTTTATAGGACTTTCCTAATTTCGTTATGAATCGAACTATACCAGATGAGAACTAATACCAAAGTACCCTAAAATGCATAGTAGAAAATGTTTAACATTTGAATAGACCATCCATTTTTTATACTTTAATACTTTCATATTAAATGGCGAACATAAAAAGTAGCTATTTTAAGCCAAGTATGGATGGAGATGAGTGTAGGATGAGTGGCGCGATCTTGTAGTCTTGTTAGTGACTAAGGCCGACATTCCTTAGACACAGCTGTTAATTAGCCCATACATCTAATGACAACTAAGGGACCTACAGTTTAGAGTGGCACCCGAACCACATTTTTGCCTTGGTATATACGAATTGGTCTAATTATCAGGATAGTACTGCTTGATAGTCGTAGTACTCACTCGTGTGAACGTTGTTAATCCACACCAGGGAGTATCGCATCCACAGTGCATGCCTATCCATAAACTCTGAGTGTAAGTTCATTTACTCATTCAGTCACGTCGTAAACCAAGTCTAAACAAAACACTCGCCCCACAAGGAAGCCCAATCTTCAGTATCACATATTGGACATATATTTAATCATCCCATTCCAAAATACTAACTGCCACGCCTTGAAGCTACTTAAAACCGAATAAATCTCGCCTATCCTATACACATGACACGACCGTTTAGCAGTGGGCAGCTCCGGTGACATTTATGGGATTCGGTTCAACGGTGGAAAAACATGTCGCGAAGTGGCAGTCAACATGTGGGCTACACGTGTGTAAGCCTGGGATTACTAGACAACTATAGACTGGAACGGATTGAAACACAGCAACTTCGAATGTATATTATGTCGGTTCACATTCAGTCAAATCTGTACAATTATCCTTGCATTGGGGTAGAGACATAATGTTGCTGAATGTGTGAAAGATGGTAGTAGAACAAGGTGAGACTATTTCAATAGTTACATTGACTAAGACCAGTTTCTTTAACCAGGGTCATTTATTCAGCCCAATAATATGAGGCGTATGGAAGTTGGATTAAGTTTCGAATCTTCAGATTGCTTCTGACTTTCTCAGGGTCAACCGGCTAACTTCAATGTAACGTATAAAACCCGTAATTTACTATCATCACTTATTCGTTTCTGCTTATTAACGATTTTATAACATTTAAGTAACACTATGACTATGGAATAGATCATTTATGTACTTATATGGGTTTAACGGTTTGATTTTATGCTACTTAGAAGTATTAAATTGTTTTCCTCCAGTAATGTGTTAATATACAACATAAGTTATTGTATTCCTTGTTAAAGCCTTCTTAATTTCTTTTTTTGGCTTGGTTTTAGTTAACTGGTTTTTGGAGTTACTGTCTCAAAGAATTGTCCATTGACAGATGAATTGCGGTGCCTAAATTATTTATTACCTACTACCATTCTCAGATTACATTTCGTTTTTAATAAGACGGGTTGTTCTTTACAAATGACCAAACTGTTTATTTCATAGCTGTAAAACTTTTAGAAATTGTTCATTGACAGCCTAGTAAGACTAATGTTTTATTCTATAACTTAGCCTTCGCATGGCTCTATCCCCCTTATTCAGGGGTTCGAAGTTACTACGTTACGTTTAGCATATAAACATTAATTTATTAATTAGTTACAGAGGAATCAGCAAGAATCAACAGTGTTTACATCTTGTAGGTTGACAGCTTTGAACTAAAACTTTGAACTAAAACTTTGAAGTGGATATGTAATGTCCAATCAACGGCGGAACTACCTGTTCTTCAGTGGTTTTAGAGGACTTTAAATTTTGGGCACATTTGCGAAACACGGGTAATGGACACTAGTCACCCAATAATTACGGGCACGTTGACACACCCAATTATCTACTGATATATTTACGGATATTTCAACACGAAGAATTCAGTTTCAAAACCACCAGTTTACATCCTCCGCGGATGTTGAACACATGAAGAGGTAAACTACTAACTATCACGAGCACTCGCAAAGTGCCGTGTTGGACAGGCTATTTACACAATAATATTGCCGAGCGGAGCCAATTAGTTGGGCTGAGCGCTACCCGAGACCGGCGTACAACAACATAATTCAGCGGGAGAGGGTCAATTAATTTGGCGGGAGTTATTGTGAACATCTCGACTGATTTGTCCCGCGTTGAGCGATTTACAACCATGTGGTAAATTTGTGGATGTCTTGATTTGGTCGTATTGATAATTAATTACCTATCTTGTTGCATATTCGAGGAGGTTTTAGTGAAATTTCTCTATGAGAGAAATTTATTTTTGTTTTTATATTGATGGACCTTTGATAATGAGGTTCCGAACCACCAAGTCGTGGCGTTTATATATCTATCTATATATAAAGCTCAAATACCCCTGACTCATTCATTCATTCATTCACTCACTCATCACGAAATCTCAGAAACCATAAGACCCAGGAACCTGAAACTTGGCAGGCATCTTCCTTTTGGGTAGTAGACGCTCACTAAGAAAGGATTTTAAGCATATTTCCATCGGGATGAGCATATTTGAACCTGGGACCTCAGGGACAGAAGTCTCTAACCTCTAGACTAGCCACACCAAATCTAATATAAATGTAACCATATCTCCTATCCGATGTACAATAAAAAGCTAAATATCGAATCCCAAGACTACACGTTGTCTTTGGTGTCACATTTTTCTCACAAACAAGTTGAAACCTTACCAAAAGAAATGGACAAACCTTATCCAGCTTGAAATTTTAAAACTCAACAACTCATTCATTCAGCTAGATCAACAATATACATGCATCAGCCAAATCAAATTTACTAAAACTGACTATTAACTAACTTGAAAAATATACATTAAAATTCACGAAGACAAAAAATGCGCGAAAAAAGCACAGCGCACAAAAAGTCAGCGAGAAATGCGCGGGCACCGTAGTAGCCTTTACAACAATGACTTCAAGTGCCTTTTTGAAACATCCCGGATTTGATGTGGAATTGATTTGAGGAGGGAGAGCATTTAAACAGTTTGATGGCATTGTAAGTTAGATGTCTTTCGAAGAAGGTGGTTTAATGGGCTGGAATTCTCAGATTGAAGTTATTGCGAAGCAGATATGAGTGGGTGGTTGTGGAGTGGAAATTAGAATAATTTGACGTTAGGAAAGTGAGGACTTCCAGAATGTAAATACAAGGATAAGTTAGAATTGCAGATGATTTAAATACAGCTCGCCAAGTAAGTTTGTAGGGAAGGCCGTGAATTATTCTGATAGCTCTCCTTTGAAGGCGGAAAAGGAAAGGGTTCTTGTGCTTTCACCACCCCATAGTGCAACTGCATAATATGGGTGTTCTTTAACTTAAACGGTGTTCTTTTTACATCTATAGGGTCAACGTTTTTAAAGTGGTTGTGTTTAATCATTGTTTATTGCACCGTCCCCTAAACTTATAAATGTGCCAGCCTGTTTCAATATCGTTCGAAGTATACCTATTGAACAAGAATTTCAATATTTCAACCGCTATTTGGTGGAACCTGCTTTGGAGGTTCCGGCTTGTCAGAAGTCGTGGCCGTAAGTATGAACAATCGTTTGTTTGAGACATAGGCCTATGTTTTATGGTTTTACCTACGGTTGAAATGGTATTCTAAAACGGGTCCGAAGTTCTTTCCAGCTATTTTAAAACCAGTCCTAATACGTAAAACCACAGTAGTTCTTCAAATATAATTATGAACGAAATATCTGCTCCAACACAACGTGGTCCATAAATCTCTCTCATCGAGGGACAAATAAGCTGTAGAACGTGATATGTCCTGATAGATAGCGAGGACTAATGCGTCGATTGATATATCAACTGATGTTGGAAGCGCGCCGATCATGGGACATATCAATTAAGTGCCGTCTACAGACAAAGATTGGTGTCGCGCCAAAATCGGGTCCACGAAAATGGAGGGAATCCAACCTTTATATTTATTCACTGTTACCTTTTTAATCTTGACAACGCCTTCGGTTGTGTATGCGGGTACGTGAAATTTTGGGTCATTATTAAATACTAAGCTGCACAACTTAATTATTCGTTGGATAAATACTGCAATATTCATCTTCAGTCTGAACACCTAAACAGACACTTATTATGTAAAACTTCCACACACGACCGATCCTGAACGGTGATTTATTGTTGATCTGCCGGAAGATCAAGATTAAAGATTAAAGGTCCTGCCCTATATTTTTCATAAGCAATGAAGGTGCTACTTCTACTTTATATTCTATACATCACTTTATAATTTCAGATAGTGATTTCATTGCCCAGTTCACTGAATTGAGGATAGTTTTCAGAGAGTTCATACTCGTTGTAGACAGATATAAAAGGGTACACGAGTTGCAAAAGTAGGGTACTCACAATATACTGGTCTGGCTGTGTTTTCGGATTGCTCTGGCCAGCGGGGTGGAGCCCCCGGGCCCCAGAGTCTGCATGCAGGATGTCCTCAAGACTCTCAATGTAGTCGATGGCGTTCCTGAGGATTTCTACCTTGGGCAGTCTTTGGCTCGGGTTTGAGCTTGTGCGTCTCTTCAACACCTCGAACGCCTCGTTCACCTGCAGAGAAAGACGGGTTGATGTTGGAAGCGAAATGTCATGGTAGAAAATATGTGTTTTGAAAGACATATCAGTGTGTTTTGTTATTTTGATTGATTATTTGTTCAAGACCAGCTGTTGGTTGGTTAGTGATATCAAAAGCAATAAGCAATAAGCATTTCCTACAGTCACCTGACAAAGTGGGCGTCCTTGCACTGATTATAGTTGCTAAATGCTGCATTTACTTACTTTTGCCGCACTCCAGTATTCCAACCAAACATCACAAAGTGGCGTGCTTTTATTAGGCACGTAATCCGTGTACGCTTGAAAATAAGCTGGCAACACTTAAGGTTACTGATCAACTATTGCAGTGTTTCCCATTTCGTTCAACATTTGGATTTAACCTAACCTAAAACGTGTTGTTTAGTGTTTGAAAGACTAATTATTACTATGCTCTGTAATAACTGTAGGAAAAATAAAATGTGTAACACTCGAGAAACTCTCCACACTCGCCTGCAGCTTGTGCGTAAACATGACTCTCATGACCAGCAAAGTGCCACTTCGCACACTACTATTAGTTACACAAATAACTATAGACTAAAAGTCTAGTAAAAAATGTACTGGAGCCATCCTCTAAGTCTGATTCAAAACCATAAAATACCCTAAAGAAAAATCATTAGTCAAGTTTAAATTGACACTCTATCTTAACAAGTATTATTGATTTTAATGTGGAAACTTATTTTTCCAATCTACTCAAAGGGTTGCAAGTTTACCTTCCTCAGCCGTCTCCTCTCTCTCAGGGTCGCCGCTTTTCTCCTGTCAACTGTCACAGTCTTCCTCTTACACGCCTTGCAGGCCCACAGCAGACATCGCCGCTGATCCGGGCCATGTGGTAGGCCTTCGCCATTCTGCAACACCAGGGCGAGAATGTTAAAGACTAAACAGCAAACCTGTTAACCTAAAATCAGCGAGTCTCAAAATGATTCGTCAGGGGATTTTAGTCGCATGAAAATCAACACTCCCAAGCTTGAATATAGGCGTATGAGGAAAAATAATTATTTCGTAGTGTCCTACCAAATTATTTTTGAAACTTTTAATTTTCTCTAGCGTGTTCAGCAAAATAACTCAGACTCAAGCAACTCGTTCAGGTTCACGTTCTGTGTAGGTTTCAGCAGAACACACAACAAACTGATATCCAACCATGCTCATGTCTGCACACCTCAACCATAACTGTGTCTGAAAGAGTATACAAATTCATCTGAAAAAATACTGTGATTAAAATTTTCTTATGACTTACAATGAAGAAAACTGTATTTCCCCCTCAAGAGAAACAAAGAGTATCGTGTAATAAATTAATTTACATTAAAATTTGAAGTAAATACAGTTTATATAGTAAGAACAGTTAATTTTTCTCTTTGCTGCCTCTTTAGCAATATGTTCTTTCAAAGCATTCAACAGCTGATACAAGTTTTTGTTGATTATTCTCAATTTGATGTAAAACAACCCAAAACTTGTTATCTCTAAAACGAATTTGTTCAATAATGTTTGATCAGAAACTAGAATCAAAGAATAATAATTGTAAAAGCAGAGTAATGAGTAAGACTAGTGAGAAGAAGGGAGCAGCATCGGAGAAGAAGGGAGCAGCACCGACTTTACCAATACCTAATAATGGTAAATCAAAGCTCACAAGTTCAACTGATTCAAAATTACCCGTTTTTTGCAACGCAAGAAAGGCTCATAATTGCTGTACACCATCTTCTGAATTAAAGAAGCCTCTCTCATCTCTTGGAAGAAAGTCTCTCTCCCTTGTGGATCTAACACCAAAGAAGCAGAGAACGACAGCCAAGTCTCGAAAGATAACCACCATGGACACAAATATGCAAATGGAATCAAAACTGCAGGTCTCATTCTTAACCAATAAGGAGTCAGAGTTGGCAAGAACAGTTTGCAAGATGTTCATTCTGAATGCTTGGAGACATCGTATCATGCAAACAACTTCTCTACAAACTCAACTGACGAAAATGGTCAACGAGGTAGACAATCTAAAACTTCAACGGATTGTTTTAAATGACCTGTTGAAATCCGAACAAGATAGAGTAACAAGCTCAATGGGAGAAACAGCTTGTCTAAAAACTTGTCTTGAGAATTGCCAGAAAGAAAATGCCCTCTTGCAAAACGAAAATAATTATCTGAAAACGGAGAAAAAACTTTTGCAAAACAGAGAGACAGAAATGATATCCGAGATGAAAATTATGAAAGATGAATTAATTTTGACATCCGAGCAAAACAAATATCTTAGAAGAGATTCCGACGACTTGGCTAAAACTGTTTCAGAGTGCAAGCAAGAAAATATGGAACTTCAAACCCGACTTAGTAAAGTTTCAGTTCTTCTAAGAGAAAAGGAGATAAAATTACACGAAATGCAAATTACAAATTCCAATTTACTTTCTAGGGTGTCCGAACTAGAAAAAACAAATAAAAAACTTATTGAAGAAAACAAAAGTAAAGAAATGAAGATCTATGAACATGAAAAGATAGAAAAGGATTTAATAGGAAAGGTGAATGTTTTTCAGATTATATACTCTAATCAGAACGAAACGATTTCAAACTTGAAAAGTATTTTATCTGAACTGGAAAACAGGTTGAAGAAACAGACTAAATATTTTGAAAACTTTAGATATATGGTTGAAAAGTCTGCAGCTGAGAAAGAAGAATATGTTGAAAACTGTAACCAACAGAGAAATAGAGAGATCTTTGAAGCAATTAAAAAATCATCAGTATATTTATCATTTAACAATCCCAATCCTGACATTCAAATCAACCCATTATTTTTGTGAATTTGTAAGTCATTCTAATAGTTTAAAATCCTTATCCTTTATCATCAAACCAATATACCTGAAATATCTACAAATTATATTATTCGTTTAAAAACATGTATAGCTTTAGTAAGTGTAATCATTAAAAATGTAATTTAAAACCTAATAGGCTTTCTTTGGAAATATTGAAATATTTAGGTTATTAGTACTAAAGCAAACTAATACTGGCATTACCTTTAACTATTTGTTTTTGGTATGACTATTCAATCCAAAATTCGATTGAAAATATATAGTGTAAATTGCTAAATTGTGTAAGGAGAAGCGGATTGGAGTTGACTACGGTAGCCTACCCTCATTAGATGACGCATAGCAAAAAAAAAAAAAAAAAAAAACTGATCACGACAATCTACACATTTGAAAACTGTACTAAAACATAGAATTGTGTTGAGCTGTGATGTATCTTTTACTTTACTAATTGGTTTAAACACAAGCCAATGCCTAGGTATATCCAGCGCCAGTGGTGGAGGACAAATGAATATATACTGGTTTATAAACGTGTTCATTTACATATTAATAACGAATCATAATCACGTAACTTGCTTTACTTTAAGTAAATCTTAAAATGTAACTCAAATTATACTTCAAATATAGCAACAATGGTGAAAAATGCAAGGATGCTTTTTGAAGTATATTGTATGACATTCCAAGAAGTATGGAAAATGTTCTGTTATGATTGAGGCAATGGGAGGATGATGGGATGAGTTTTCACCTGATGATATTAAGGAATGGTTTTATGTTGTTTACTTTCATTATATTGAAAGAGCCTTAGCGGAGATTGCTATTACTCCTCGTGCGGTAATGTAAAATAAAAGTAATTAGAGATTCGGTGACTCCCGAATCCAGTGTGATCGCGTCCCAGTGCCATAGTCCAGTCATTTTTGGTAAAAATACACCTCTACCTGGAAATAATTCCCTAAGTTACACTGTAGTACTAGTACTACACATGTGAACAGTTTCACCACTTAGGGAATTATTCCCACCTAAAACCCCAATATGACTGGACTTGTATGACTTGCTTGATACATTCCACACACAACTGAGGTCCACGAGACGAACAAATGCAAGGTTAAAAAGGCCCAAGGGAAAGTCTTAAACAAATTGCACTGCATCAATTGTTCAATCAACGATGACTGCCACGACTAACGTTTACAAGTTGTAAGTGGGCTATCGGTCCTACTAACTTTCCAGCTCATTCAGTAACCTCCTGATTTTACCCCACAAAGTTGCAAAGATATTTGATATCACCACATGTTACCTGATGATGGTGGGAGGCAAGGTGAGGTGCCAAAACGTGAGGGATGTGTTGCTCCTCTGACGTGGCGCTTGAAGCATCCTCCTCCTCATCGTCGTCCTCCTCCATACTTGCACTTCCCCTGGAGGAACATTAACTCAAATTACATATTCAACTACTCAATACTTAATTGTATTTGTGATAACATTATTTCTTGAGAAAAACGTTTAGTCTACTTTATATCTACAGAAAACCGAGTTGATTTAAAACCGATTCCACGTGTTCTTACAAATTAATGTAAATTACAGTCGATCTTGTTCTGATTGCAAGGCACAAGCTAAGGAATTTTGAGGTCAATCAATCAATAATTGAGATGTGGACACCAGCTACGTGTGCATTTTAACCCAAATATGCGTGAAGGGTGAGTGTAGAATGGAGTGATGTGTAGCTCTGTTACCGACTAAGGCCAGCTGTTTCATAAGTCAAGAAAGTGATAGAAAGAATGCTGGTTATAGCATTCCTTACAGAAAATTCTTAGCCTAATCGAGCACAATTTTTGCAATATAATTGCATTTTAAATCAGATTCGTACTATAGACATTTGTCAATGTTCGTACCCACTTAATGTCCTGCCACGTGGTGTGTTCTTTGGTACAAGCAGAACTCGTCAGTATGTCTGCAAGGTTGGTAAGTTTGCCTAGGTTTTCAGAAAGATTATAGTCTTCAACCTTGCCTACCTTGAGTTAGGGATCCTGGAGTCCCAGGGACGCGAGGCAGGTCCTGGACTGTGGCCGTACTCGCTGCTGGACTCTCCTTCTCCTGTGGGACTTACACTGGACTGACGTACCGCGCCCTGGAACAACACAGCAAAACAGTTTGTGAAAACTGTCGAAGCGCTATAAATAAACACATAGCAAGCAAAGTCTTTTCAAGTGAACGTAAAATGCTGACAAAAACGCTGAATATGAAGAAGATGTGCTTTGGAAGAACACTAACACAAATCAAAAGAAGTCACCAAGGCAAAACTGATCATAAGACGAAGTCGTCGGGCAATGTGGTAATTATATTGCTTTAAACCCTACCTTTACAACCCAGAACATTTAAATTCCCAAGGGATTTAGTCAAAGACATTAAACTAGATCCGTTTTAAATATTACTTTAGCCTAACAGAGGGCTACCATTATCTCATAGCTAAAGAAATTAGTGATTGATGGGATTTGAACCACGGTTCTCGTGGACCAAAGTCTCGCACTCTACCACTAGATCATCGTCCCTCATTATATCAGGAAACAGTAAATGAGCCACTGTTGGCTTCTTCAGCCAGCCATCTGGATCTGAGAAATTTCAAGCTGCTAAGACCATCTGTAATTTACATTGTACTTACGGCAATACCACAACGGCAAACAGGGCAATGGAATCTTATCTTAAAATCAAGTTTTAAAAATGCACCTCTCTTTGAAGGTTCGCTGTTCGAAGAAGAACTATTAGTTGAATCACAACCATGTGATTTACCGTTTGAAACTCAATCATTGTGCAATTATCCAAGTCAAGAAGACGAATAAACGTTTAGCGTGGACAAGTTAGTTGTGCTTTTACAATTAAACTAGTGGCTTGTAGGAGAAAAACCCCTATATATATTCTAGTAATTATTTTGAACAAATTATTAGTCTCATGGGTTACTCTACCTTGAATTATTGTTTAACATTTTTGTATATTATAATATGTATAATAGTTATTACATTCCAGCATAATGAATTTTGATGTCTGCTCTGTGTAAAATAAAAATTCCAAAGGACTGTTTATGCGGTGTGTTTATAATATAAACTTTCTATATTATATTTTTACATTATATTATATTTTAAATTTTTATACATTATATTATTTCTATATTATGTTTTTACACTAAAACACAAAAAAAATTTGAAAAAAGTATAATTCAGCTTTATAATAGTATACATATTACAGTACATATTTTACCATATGCTTTAAATAAAGTTAAACTATTTAAATGTGAATTATTTTATTCCGTAACAACCTTTTGGAGCATAATTAAGAAAAATGAATAATTTTCCCCAACATTTCATGCACACACCTTTAAATTGAGACCTCTCCCAGCTTTCTACGGCCTCCCGTTCGCTCACAATTTCATTGTAAAATTTTGGGCTTAAGGAATTAGATATATAGATATTTATTTAACTGATTAAACCAAAGTTGCTAAAGATTGCCTCAGTGCCTCTGGGATTAAGTGTTGGTAGGAGAGAGCCAAGTAAAATAATTGGTTAAACTCAAAACTATTTTCAGAACTATTTAGATCAGAACTATTTTCACCTATATCAAGTAATCCCCATTGTAATCTTTGCTCAATAGTAAAAACTGATGTTTTAGCGAATTTCCCATATAGGGAATAAGCTATTACCGCAGTACTCATGGTAAGACCTGGACGCGGGACCGATTTTTTTTTTCGTTTTGAGGTCCCTAGAGGCCAAAAACACCATCCGTTCAAATTCATATATATATATATATTTATATATATATATATATATGTGTCCGTCAGCACGATAACTCGAGCAAAAATGATCCGATTTTGATGAAATTTGGTACAAACGTGTAAACGTACGTTTATTCGAACGAGTTCGCGATCCAGCATGATCGGACTATGGGAACGGGGGTTTACGGGGGGTTTTATGGGGTAAAAATAGGTTTTTCCCATTTTTGACCCAAAAAACATAAAATTTAGTAATTTCTTTCCAAACCATTTTGTAGAGCTTAAAAAAACAAATAATTTAGTATATTGAAGCGTTATTATGCGCCTAATGGTTACGGAGAAAATTCCAAAAAATTGTAAATTAAAAATTCCCATGTTATTCTTATGGAGAATAAGTAAACTGTTGTAGTTTGCTTGTTTGTAAACATATTTTGATCAAATTTGGAAAATGTTTTTATTTCTTACTAACAATTCACGTTTTACAAAAAAAAACAGTTTTACCCTCCCTGATGCAGCAAACCTAAGTACTTGTTAAACTAATTCTATTTAAATCAAGAATAAATGTTATATTTTTAAGTAGACATTTCAGTGTAAATCCGATCAGTCAAATGGAAATTCGCTTAGTCTGCAGGTTTGCTGCGGCGGGGATATTTCCCTTTGTACTGTATTTTTATCATTTGCTAGTAAACTGTGGATGGCTTGTTATAAACACATGTTACAAGTATTTGGTTTACTTTTTTTAACGAATTTCCCCTATAGGGAATAAGCTATTACCGTAGTACTCATGGTAAGACCTGGACCCGGGACTGATTTACTTTTTCGTTTTGAGGCATGGTGGAAGGAAAAAACATGGTTTTGAGGTCCCTAGAGACCATAAACACCATTAGTTCATATATATATATAAAACATTCATATATATATATTCATATATATATATATTTATATATGTGTCTGTTAGCGCGATAACTCGAGGAAAAATCATCCGATTTTGATGAAATTTGGTACAAACGTGTAAACCCTACGTTTATTTGAACGAGTTCGCGAACCAGCATGATCGGACCATGGGAACAGGGGTTTATGGGGGGTTTTATGGGGCAAAAATTGGGTTTTCCCATTTTCACCCTACAAACTTAAAATTTAGCATTTTCTTTCCATGCCATTTTGTAGAGCTAAAAAATAACAAATAATTTAGTATTTTGAAGGTTATAATACGCCTAATGGTCACGGAGAAAATTCCAAAAAACTGTAAATTTAAAATCCCCATGTTATTCTTATGGAGAATAAGTAAACTGTTGTAGTTTGCCTGTTTATGATTATATTTTGATCAAATTTGGAAAATGCATTTCATACTAAACTATTAACATTTTACAAAAAACACCTTTTTACCCTCCCTGTTGCAGCAAACCTAAGCACTCGTTAAATTAATGTTATTTAAATAGGAAATAAATGTTATATTTTTTAGGGAGACATTTTAGTGTAAATCCAATCAGGCAAATGGAAATTCGCTTAGTCTGCAGGTTTGCTGCGGCGGGGGTATTTACTTGTTATTTTGTTCAACCAACATAGTTACTCATAAGGCCAATGTTAAATTTTTAAATTTTCAAATGAGGTTTGTAGTAATATACGAATTTTCCTGTGGTATTTTCCTAAGTTAATGGTAGTTAGTAAAACACATTATCGTAAACCTGAACTCGAACGGACAATCGAGTCAAAAATTGCAGCCGTTAAAATATCTTTTGAGTCTGTCAATTTGAATTTTCGAACGGCTGTCATTTTTTACTAAGTGGTTCTTTTGAGCTCAAATTTGCGGGATTGTATTCTACTAATAAGGACCTTAATTTGATTTGCATGTTGACCTATGCTTAAGTTTGTGAGTTTTATCCAACGAGCACATTGCAAAATCACTAAATCTTCGAACAGCTTTCATTTTTGACACGGTTATTTGTTTGAGTTCGGGTTTGCAGCAATGTGTTCTACTAATAAAGACCTTTACTTTTATATCAAATTATTTAAAACCCTTGTCTGACTCCTTGTGGGCCGACCCGCTCAATGAATAGAAAACTAATAATAGCTTTCAAAAAGTAGACAGTTATGGTTATTATTGGTAAACCAATAGCCAATTGAGTAGTCTCATCAATTTATCTATGAAGGTAAAAAATATATTACACCATTCCGGAACTTTTCAACCACACTGTATACCTAAATTCTAAGTGACATCAATGTTTTTGAAATGAGTAAAATTGGTATAGTTTTATTGAAGCACCGTTGTTTATTGTCTATTTTTAATAATTTTAGTTCTAAGATATTAAAAATTGATATGACCTATGCAAATTTTGTTCGAGTAAATGTAATTTTTATTAACACATTTTTAGTTCTCAGTGTGTTTTAATCGTTTTTAATTCAATTTTTACAGCATTTTGAAAATGTTAAAATGTGATATCAAATTTTGAAGAATTTCCCCTTGTTTGAATTTATTTAAACTGTTTATTACTGTTTTTTTGTCTTTGCATTAAAACTTCATTTTTGTACTCTTTTGTTTTCAATACAAATGTTATGCTGTAAGTTTTCATTTTCTTGTGTTAAACAATGCTAATTTATATCATAAAGCTGTGATGTTCGTTAGAGGGGAAATTATGTTAGGATTTTAATTTTATAATGATTAGTTTTTGAAGTCAAACCTAAACCGATGGTTTACAAGTTGTTTTTCATTTTATAGAAATAGTCAGTAACAAATTGTTTTAAGGTAATGCAGGAGCGCGCTGGGTTTAGTGCAATGTTGTTAACGTTTACTGTGGGTTTTATTTCGATCGGTTGCATTTAGTACGTTAATGTCAAACATTTTACAGTTTTTTTTGTTTTTTTTAACAAAAGTCACATTTTTTTCAAATTGTCAAAAATTGTTTTATTTCATTTTTTTTACTTAAAAAAACGGACATACCTAATTTTTGTTACAGCCATCGTGTAAAGCTAAAATTATACAGTTTTGTATATTAAAGCATTGATGTATGATAAAAGGTGACGGATGAATTTCAAAAAATGTACATTTACAATTGTATGTTATTGTTGTGAAGAAAATAAAAAATATCGTAGTATTCTTGTTTATGAACGTGTTTTGATCAAATTTGGCAAATTTATTTATACTATTAGCATAATTAGTCGTTATTTAAATATGAAAAAAATGTTTCTAATTTTTGTAACAATCTGCGAGTTTAATGTAGTAGAGGTATTTTATTGCAGATTACAGGTCTCGTGTTATTGTTAATTAATGCGTGATTACATACTTTTGTGCTTCCTTGCTTACCACCTCTAAAAAGATAAAAATTATGCTCAACGTTTACAAATAGTAAAACAAAAAAACAACGAGTTACACTTTTACCGCAAAGCCCGTAGATGCCGTATCTTGTTTTAAAATTGTTTGCTATTTCCAATGAAGTTGATTTTCAACACTTTTTACTTTTTCCGTTTTTTATGAGAAATGTGATGGTCCAAACTTTGGTCTTGTTCTTGTTGTAAGATAGCTCCAGAAATGTTATCTGAGGCCATATTCCTTGTTTAAGACCAAACTTTACTTGCTTTTACTCACATATTTCGCAGCGTACTGAGAATAATTGATCCTGGAAGGGTACGGGACGCGTAGGTTCCTGTGGGACTCTCTGTACCTGTCGTATCCCTCTCCATCCCTAGGGAACTTATTTTGCAGCATCATGTTCTCCCGTGCAACACATCACACTAACTCACATCGTACATAATTTTTATAAAATATTTCGGTTGGTAATATTTGATCAGTTTGTCAGGTGGTTGTCTGACACTTGGCGACACGTCGACACGCTCGTCACGCCCGTGTCCTACACGCGTGTTTCACGGCGGGTCCACGACAGTCACTGACTCCGCTTGGCGACGATTTTTAAAATAGAACCAAAAGCCCCGCCCCCATCCCCACAACATTCGCTCATTTATTAGTTTTTTCATTATTATCAATTCTTCTCTACAGCATACAGTATCACGACTATATAATAGTTATTTATTATGGTGAAAAAACTACATTGCAACGCAAACTTCATTGGACAGTTCATATTCAAATTAACTTTATGTTAGCACAAAACCTATTTGACTTGATTAAAGTTCATGAACAGAGTTTTCATGGCCGTGGGCAAAAATTTAATCACGATTTATTACTCCGAATATTTTTATTACTCCGCTTTTTGACACCGACACACTAGTGCGTATTTTATACGATTGAAGGATGAGTGTTGAAAGCATAGGATGGTACGGTAGCTTTGTTACTGATTAAGATCAGCTGTTTCCTTAGTCAGAACCATTTATAAAGAAAGACCATGGAAAGACCCAATTATCATAGACAACAAAGTCCAATTATAAACAACCAAAAAGCCTCCGACTTTTCTCAGGACCAACCCGGTATCTTATAGTTAGGAGAGCTAAATAAGTTTCCAGTGGTCCATCGTTAGATTTTATTTATCTGAAAGATCACAAAAAAGTTAAAGGTAATTTTTTGTAACAAATCTATACATCAACAGGCAAGCATGTTTTTTAACCCGTTTTTCTCAGATCGTGCGCATCGCAGGGAAAATCTATGCATACTGTTAGAAAGATATTTTCCTGTGGATGTGCAGAATCCCTTCATAAATTGAAATAGGCTCAAAATAGGCACAACAAATTAATAACTCTACATATTTGAAGGCAAGCACCATCCTCGGCTTCGTAGACAATTTTTATTTTAATGTTAGCCTATTTAAACCTTTTTCCTGTTTGAAACTTCAGACAGTGCAAAAAATCAAAAGTTACACAACTTTTCAAGGGATATTTATTTAAATCCGATCCTAGGGGATTCCTATCCCTAAATTGCCTGCACAGGGAATAAACATCCATAAAATACAATTTCTCCCACATCATTGTCAACTATACAGTTATGTCAGTTTTGACGCCAACTTTACGAAATGCACATTTTGTAATTTGTTGCAATACATTCTTTATCTTTGATTCTTATGTCCCAATCCGTTCGACATTTTGTTTGAGGCAGTTTAGGCCATAGCATTTCATGGGTCAGTTCAAGTGGCGACTACTTGCTATGCATCGGTGACAAATCTGTCACAACCGGAAGCCGAAGGTCTCAAAAGAAGCCGACCAGGAAGCGGGAAGTTCCAGATGGCCAAGGGACGAGGATGTGGCATGTTGGCCAATATCGCCGCCCCACTGGAGTTTAGGGGTCCTCAGGACCCACCGGAGGGTGCTTTATCACTCATTTTTTAAATGATATCACTCTATCACAGCAAAAACCCATGGTCATTTAAAAAATTGTAATTGTTGGTTGAAATTGGACGCTGCACAGCTTGAGACCTGTAATTCTAAACGGTTGATATAATGCAGGATGATCAGTTACTCCAAAGTTTTTTTACTGTGTTTTTACCGAATTTTCCATTGGTTTTACCATTGCTAAAGCCCCAAAAATATAATTTTTCAATTTCTCTTCCATCTATTTTTAGAGCTTAACAAACAAATAACTAGTATACTGAAGTGTTGTTGTATGCCTACGGTTTGGCGAACATTCCGAAAACCTGTAAATTAAAAATACCCATGTTATTCTAATAAAGAATAATTAAACTGTTGTAGTTTACTTTTTTAATATATTTTGAACGAATTTGACATTTTATAAAATTTTAATGCTTGCCTATTAATATATAGATGGCTGGATAATAATATTACTACAATTACTTGAATACAAACACAAGTTTTCCTCGACGTAGTGTTACTTAATATGCGGCTCATTGAGCCGCACGGGTTTCCTAGTATAACTCTATTACATTATAATAGTTGGTGCGTTTGTATCATAGATTAGACAGACTCCCTCTTAGTATGCTTATGCAGCCCTAGAGCTGGATAAGTAGTAGCAATTTTGGCTTCAAGATAGTGATGCAGGCCAAAAATTTAAAATAATGTTTAATAACTGATATAAACTTTTGCAATCTATTACATACGATTAACTTTAGGTTCCATCATAACATTTCATATTTTCATTGATCTAAGAAATCGGAAGTGAAACATTACATCGATACAAGCTGATGTTCCAATGATGTAGTCTCCTAAGACAAAGGTTCAGCCTTCTTATCTCCAGTTCACCCCTGATTGCAAGGTGATGTCAAGGGAGGATGTCTAAAATCTGTAGTCACAACAACCACATCTGCACTTGGCAGTAGGAGCATCTGTCACTAGGGGGCGTGATATACCAGTCAGAAGATCTCTGGTCGTCATTCACACCATGCGCTGTTGAATAATCGAAGAAAACCACACAGGAGATCTAAATACTCTATGTTTGGAATCTATTACAGCAGAGTATTTTGTAACAAATCCCTCGATAGCAAGAGCATCAATTTTGTATAGAGTTGTTTACAGTTTGAATCATAGAATCTGCCGTCAATTAGTTAACTAAGGCGTTAAGTGAAATGGTTTTCAACATAGAAATGGTTCTTTTAATCTTAACGGCCAACAACCCGTATGTTTTACAATGGTAGATCAGTACATATCACCTTTGTACTGTACGGGCTCACTGCTTGCTTTGCTGTAAACGATCCACGCACGGGCGGTTAGTCTATGTGGACCTAGGAGGATTTTTTTAATCCTCCTAGATGTGGACGGGCAAATGCAAGGTTTAAAGAGGCCGCCAACCTCTAAAAAATATAGTTTGAAACCAAGACGAGCCCTTTTACATCTAGTTATTTCTAACCTCAATAAGAAGTTCACTATAAGATCGTTCCTTTACTGTAGCCCTATTTTAGCTAAATAACGTATTTATGTTAAGTACTACCATAGACTAATGTTTTATCTATCTATATAAATAAAATTAGAGTTTTGTCTGTACATTGCTCAGAATTATATACTTTTAGGTTATTTTTACGTTTTATACATTAAAGAAGCAGAAACGAGTCTTATCTCAATTTCTGTCTGTCTGTCTGTCTGTCCCTTTGTCTGTAACACTCAAGATGGCATTTTACGCAATCTTCTCCGTGAAAACCAGAGTACATATCAAGATCCAAGTCATTTTAATGTATTCACTGGATTGGCGAGAGTGTCTTTAGTGATTTAAATATAGCCTCACTACTTTGTAAATAAAATTACGGACGTTCAAAAATGCAGTTTTGTGCGATTTTTGTCAAATTTTCGTTCAATTTTTATCACATAATCGTCTATGAAATAACGAACAGCTGTTCGGATCAAGATTATTTTTTCTAGCTGTCAATGACATGTTTACAAATGTTGTTTACAAATACCGCAACTATTTCGAATCACGTTTTGAAAGCAAATCCCAACCAAGTGAGATTAAAAACGTTTTTCTTACATAACGGATTTAATTAATCGCAAGTGCAATAATATAGTCTAATAGTGTAACCGTAAATGAAATTAAATAACTAGACATCGTCCAAATCGGAACCAGAAATTCTTTGAGTATAAAATGTTTCTTGAGTTTTGACAACCAGAAAGAAGAAGACCTTGAATCAGTGTTGTATAGGGCTGTGACACTGAAATGATCGTCGCCAATAGCTTACAAAAAAGGTTTCCACTCATTGACGGCGCTTCAATGGCGGTTGTGTAAAGTATAAAGTAAAAAATCACAACTGCAGTGGGTGATTGTAACAGAGGTTTAACAGAGGAAGTGCTAAACTCGCTTTTCCAATGTGTCACTTTCTGTTTCTACTCACCGTGTGATGCAATCGCTGGACCATACAGCCAATAGGCCCATTGGCCCATAGCTCATATCTTGGGTACGTAAGCCTACATATTTATTCATAACAACCTTTTTGACGACGATCCTTGATACCGGTACTTTTCCATAGAATACATGGCCTACCTACTTAAAAAATAAAATTACAAATGACCAAAACCCCAACATTGTGTGATTTTCGTCACATTTCCTTCTAATGTTAATAGATATACTAATCATTGTTTAGAGAATGCGTAATCTATTAAATAACAAAAAGTTGTTTGGGTAAGGTTGCTTTTTTTTCAAACTGACACCGATAAGTTTACGCTATAACTTTTTACGAGAAAATCCAAAAGCAAGAGATCAATAACCTCGGGACTAGATATTAATGTATTTAATTGGTCCGATTTACTATAGTTCTTAGGTAGGTTCTTACGTAGGTACTGGTTCTTTTCCTTAGAACCGGTAGTTTACAAATTTGATATCGTTGGTGTTGCACCTTATTTATTAGAGCCGTCCGTATTCAATTTAAGTGATGTCTTAACTCTGTATAAGTTTTGCTTTTTCTGTCTGGATTCCAAATCTTAGCTTACCCGGTATGCTAAGAAAATTATAACCTATTTGAGTAAAACATTTGTTGGGCAAACCATCATGAATTGTTTACGCCTTTATATTGTTTATGTATCAATAGTTCGTGGCCTTTGTTGGATTGTTGTATTGTGTTGTTTTGTTGTATGTTGGTAACGCATTAATGTCCTTATTTCTCAGTGTTTCACGGAATGGACAAGAGCACCTTTGATACTGAAAATGTCAACCGGAATAAAGTGTTAAATGGTGAGGTTGAGGTAGTACTTTAAAAGCGTTTAAGTTAACCGATGTGGAAAGTAACTTTCAATTATAGGCCTACTTTAGGGCTACGCTTCATGGATCTATAAAAGATTTTTTAGTTTAATCATTGGACATATGGACCAACACGATCCGGGTGACATTTAATTGCGAAGCATTTATTTTGGCTTGAACTGTCAGATACTGTATTTGCGAATGTTTATAATATAATAGTTTTGCCAGCATATCTGCAAATATGCAAACTAATTGCTGTTCTTAATCTTAATATAAGAAGGTTTCAACTGACTACTATAAGATCCCCGTGCGTAGAACGGGCACACAGCTAGTGGTACTACTAATCAGGCGTTGAGCTAAAAACTCCAGTAGATTAACACTTTGATCCAAGATAGTCTAAACACTTACTGTATTTTATGTATTTTCCCGGTGGCAAGAACTATAAAATGTTTAAAATTATTATGATTGAACTACTTTACCTTACCCTTACCTTTAATACCTTAACCTTTGTTCTCGCAGATGAATTTAGATTCCTCCAATGTTTAGTTTCCCGTCTCCTTGCGGATGCAACACACTGTTGCGAAATATATTGGAGGAATCTATAAATTCGCATCTGCTAGAACAAAGGCTAAAGGTAATAGTTCAATCATAATAATTAACTAAGAAAAAGATGTACCAACCAACATGCATGTAAACCACTTTTAAAACTATTAAACATTTTTCATGGCATAAACTTATACTTACACCGATTGCATTTATGAAAAAAACTTGATAATACATTTGAGATGTTTTCAAAATTACGTATCTCCTGTTAACGCAGATCTTTTACGGTAGGAAAAACTAAATTTTTAAGTTAAATAGTATGTAAGCAAACTTAGACGATCGATATATTTTTTAAAACAAACATACTTGTAACCAATCAATCAATTTATTGAACAATAATAATAAATACATGCATATTAGACAATAGGTGCAAAAACCATACAAGGCTTGTCTGCACCAACATATTATGAAAAATATTTTTAGTTAATTAATATATAGTCGAGTTCAATCAGCAATCAACACACTTCTATGATTGTCCTATCGTTCCATTGAGTTATCATGCATAATTAAATTATCAAAAACCACTGATATTTAAATTCAAATCTCATGAAAATAACAATATATAAATAGTATTACTAACAATCAATGAACAACAGCACAATAGACTATAACAAATAAATAACAATATCTTATAAAATTTATAAATATAACTAACAAGACAGAAACAACTAACAAACACATTACAATGATAGTTAGAAACAGCTGTTAGTTAAACCACCACTGAAACGTCTTTTATGTTGCTAGCGTCGGCTGCTAGACTAAAAAAACTCAATTTCTAAAAAAACTGAATCCCAAAACTAAAATTATGGCCTCGACATTCCCTAGTTCTCAAAATTATCTTTCTTTCAACACAAAACTCATGAAAATCCTTCAGGTGGTTGATTCAGAATCGTGAAATAAAAAAAAACCCTGTCATGTTTTAATATAAGTTATTCGAGGTGTTAGCCCGTTTACGTACGGGAATCGATATTGTCTACAAAACGAGACTCTGGGGTCACTCGCCTAAAGTCGACAAAATTCTGTTTCTGCAAAAGAAAGCGATGAGGGTACTTAGTGGAGCCCAGGATCTCGCGCACTCCAAACCACTATTTCAAAAAAATACCCCCACCGCAGCATACCCCCTGCAGACTAAGCGAATTTCCATTTGCCTGATTTGATTTTCAATTAAATCTATTCAAATAACATTAGGTTTAACGAGCACCTAGGTTTAGGTTTGCTGCCTATAGGGTAATAAAGTGTGTTTTTTAGTAAAATATTAATAGCTTAGTATAAAATAAATAGATTGGGCAAGTTTGATCCAAATATATGCATAAACAAGCATACTACAACCGTTTACTTATTCTCCATAAGAATAACATGGGCATTTTTAATTAACAATTTTCTCCGTAACCAATAACCATACAAAAACACTTCAATATTACAGGAATTACAGGTTGCAAGTATTTCAATCATTTGCCTCTTGAAGTGAGGCGTTCGCCTTTACCAAAATTCAAAGCCTTTCTAAGTTGTTGGCCTTTAGAAACACCTTTCTTTGACTCTAGTGAGTTCCTTAAGACAGAGGTCCACCTGTAATTAGGTCAAATGCATGGTGTGTGGTTTTTTAAACTGCTTTTTGATTTTTTCTCCAAATGTTCATAGTTTTAATCTGATTTATTTAACTTTTTTATTTAGTCTGCTGTTTAAACTAAGCATAGTTTGATTGTATTGAGTTTCAAATTCAAATTGTTTATTTGGCCATTAAACATTGGCCATTGGCCAAATAAACAATTTGAATTTGAATTTGAAACTCAATGGTTTCATTCATTAGGTTGTGTTTATTTATTTAATTGATTTCTTTATCAGGCTGTGGGATTTCAATTTCAAAGGGATTCCATTATTTTAATGCTGTACAAAACAGTTACATGGTACAAAAATTGCCTCTTTTAAGAGTACATTTTTTAGGTGGAAAAAGAGTGCCGTCTACCGTCTGCCTTTCGTCTGCTCAGACCCCTTCTCTCTATTCTGTCATACAAAAAGGAAAGAAAGGCCCAACATAACGGAATGGGCACACGGAAGGGACTAAGGCTAAAGGTGTAGTGACGTCATATCTCTAGTGGCTAATGTCTTCTCTTGAGGCAACACGATTACCGTAACGAAACGATGTGATTTCAGCGGCGTTCGTGGCATAGTTGGTAGCGTTACGGATTGATGTTCAGGAGGTCCCGGGTTCGAATCCCGCTGGCAGCACTAACTTTTTGTCAACAAATTTTTCATATCAGCAAGTTTGGTTGGTTAGGTTAGGTTATGGCAGTTTAATTTTATAATACTAAATTTTAAAATTAATTTTATAATTAATTAAAAATTAGAAGTAATCATTAATTAGATTTTTATCTTATACAGTTTTTATATTATCAGCAAGTCTGGTTGGTTAGGTTATGTTATGACAGTTTTATTTTAAAAATTAAAAATTTATTTTATAATTTTAAAACAATATTTTATAATCAAAAAGTTAATTTTATAACTAAAAGTAAAAAAATCAACTTAGCGGTTCTAGCGGCGAACGCTGACACTACAAGATATGTTAGCCTTAGTCCCTCCCGTGTGCCCCACCGCCAACATAACATATTGTTTGTTTACAACACGATTTGAAAGTAAAACAAATAGTTTTTCCCTTCGGTAAGGACCTTACCTACAAATTCTGTTTACTTTCTCCGCAAAACTTTAGGTTCTTCTCATCTACAAAAACATCTATTAATAATTTTTAAACTGAGTAAGTAACTTAGGCCTATACCGTACTATATTTTTCTAATTAGGCCACAATGTATAGGACATAGGGAATATCTACGTAATAAGTTACATTTTAAACCTCGGCCTAATCTGAAAATGTACATTTGCTAACCTAATGAGAACACCCAAGAGTATATCATGACAGCGTTTACACTGTGTTAAGTAAATTTAAAACCTTGTCTCCCTTACAACAAAGAGGTTAAATATAGGACTACTGTTACTTTACTGGGCTGCTCTTTACTTTAGGTTCTACACTCATTCGAATGAAAATATCGATCGATATATGGATTATTCGATTATCGTTTGGTTAGTTAGGTAAGGTTAACCTAACCTAACTAACCGAACGATATATCGAATGAAACAATCGAGTAGCCTAATCGATATTTTCATTCGGTTGTTTGTGTAGGACCTAAAGTAAAGTGCAGCCCTTTACTGTAATAACCACACTGGATGTAATCAACCAACTGTTCAGACGTTAGGCCTACTAGCTCAACTGAGTAGTGACACAGTAACTTAACCCTTAGAGTGCCAGGCGAGAAATAAAAGTAACGCTCAAAAAATGCCGATGATTTTTCCCGAAGGTCGCGCTAAAAATGCCGAGCGCGATCTGGCGATTTTTAGGTTAAAATTTCGTAAAAATCGAATTTTCGATATTTCGACCAACGAAAATCGATGTATCGCATCTAGCAACTTTCGACTCAATGTTAATATATGGGTTAAAAGAATCCGAGTATTTATTCGGTTGTTATGACAGCTGTTCGATCATTACGAAACGTCCGGTCAGCCGGACGTTGGCACTTTTGGCTCGTTCTAAAAACGTCCGGTCGGCCGGACGTTGGCACTTTTGGCTCGTTTTAAAAACGTCCGGTTCCCCGGACGTTGGCACTCAAAGGGTTAAAATGCACTTATATTAGGTATCCAAAAAATTGTGAGAGCGCTTAACTTGCGAAGACTAGTGCATTAGGGCCTAATCTAACTTACACGTTTACAGTACCGTAAGCCGTTTGAAAAGCATTTTTATATTGGCTTTTAAGTGACTGAATAAACCAATGACCGGTAAAACCAAGGCCATATATCAGGCATACTACCATATAGAATAACAAAAATCTGATCAATTGAACCCTAATGTCTTCTTTTTTAGATTTGTCTATTTTGTCGTTCAAGAGTATTAGTTGCAAGGCTATATTTTTTACTAACTTAGGCCTTATGAATTTCATTGAACTGAGGTTTCAGAGATGGCTGAAAATATTGGACTGGTCATTCAAGTACCTTCATCCCAAGGAACCACGTCCAGCATTGATATCTCATTTGAAGATATTAAAGAAGAGAAAAAGTTTGTCTTTAAAGATTCTAAATTCCAGGTATAGTAAATATGTATCTAATACCCTATGGCACATATAAGCACCTAATATTTTAATTAATTCAAACTCAAATAAAGGCAGTTTGAAGGTTAACATTATTTTATGCCCTTGTACTGAACACATGCTTAAACTTAGTCCAAATTGTCGTTTAGTGTTATGTATTCTACCTTCTTCATCCAAGTTTCTTGTTTATGGTTAACAAGACCAAGATTAACTTAGTTTTAAATAAAAACAATCTGTAATTTTATAAAAACTAAAAACTGTTATTTTATGTTAGTATGGTTCTTTAAAACAGTAAAACAATGTACCCTACAATAGTTAACCCTCCGTCGCTTGGACCTATTTTCATACGCAACTGGTTGCACTATATCTCTCAGATATTTTTTTCCTTAAAAATTTTGTTGAGTACTTTAGACAATAGGACCTATATATTTTTACTCCTAATTTTTATTTGACTTTATACAACAACCAGGGGATGTTATTTATTACAATCCCAATAAATTTTAAGGGGCGGCTCTAGAAATAATTATTTTTTTTTGGAGGCCTGACAAGGATCAAGAAGGAGTTTGATCAGTGACGAGATGCTTGAGATGCTTTGTGGAGCAAAAAAAGGGAATTTTAAAATGTAAATGCAAAATAACGAGGTTTAATGCTTTCCCTTTATTTACATATACTGTAGCCTAATTAAATTTCTTTAGGGGCTGTTAATTTATAACTTTTAATATCTACCAAAATTTGGGTAGGCCCGGGCCTAACTGGCCGACCCTCTGGAGCCGCCCCTGACAACAACTCTTCACCTTTAGATTTCATACATATTTCACATTGTCTAAACATTTCTGGGTGAAAACAGTTTTATTTATTTATATATTTAATGAAATGACTTAATTTTTGTATGTAAACAACAGCAATTTTTGTATGTAACGAGATCTGTCCCGTTTTTATTTTTGAGATACATCACAATAAAAGAAACGGGACTGGTTGCACTGTATCTATCAGATACAACAGAGCAAAACAAGGCATGTGTGCACGAAACGACGCTAACATCAATACTAGGTGTGTGAGGGGAGGGAATGAAACAGCATACTGGCCAAGACTGGTTTTGGGGCGAGAACACAAAAATGGCAGGCATGTTGCTGTATCTAATAGATTAGGTGCAACTGACTGAGGGTTAAGTTAATTGATTAGTTTGCCTAGTCGCCGAAAATCTTCAGCAATCAGTGAATTCCGACCTAGCTTGAAAAATCTGTCGTATTGGTAAATGACAAAAAAATGTAAATGCCTACTTTTGAATCAGTTAATTTACGGGGTTTTAGTGCTAATCAATGTTTATAGTAACTAGGTTCTAGGTATGGTTCTAGGCTTAACCAACAGTCTGAATTTTGGGCTTAATTGTTAAAAAGCTAACCAAAATTATACGTTTTTGTAGCTCAATAAGCTAAAAAAGAAGAAAACATACAGGACATTGAAGCAAATTATTTCTCAAGAAAAGAGTTTACCTTGGCCTCCAGATGCGGTTACATGTAAGTATAAACTAGGCTATGAAAACTTAAGTTATGCTACCATCCAAGATTTTGCTTAAGATCTAGAGTGCGACCAGTGTGTCCTCGACTTAGACCTTGTCATCCCTACATATTATATGATGATTCAATGAAAATATTTGATTTTAAAAGCCTAAGTTAAGTTAAAAGTTATTTAAATAGGCCTAGGTCATCAAAAATTTGAGAAAATTGAATATAGGCTAGCCTAGATGTATATTAGGCCCACAGATATTTTTGACGAATCTAATTCATGAGCTGTTGTTTAACTTAGTAAATGATTTATTCATGTTACCTTAATGTTTAATTTTGCAGATAGCTCGATTGGTGCCCCTCCTTCATTCCGACCAGCCAAGAAATATTCTGACATATCCGGCTTGAGCGTGAGTATATGTTAGACAATAGACAATAGACAATAGACAATATATATTTATTCCTTTAAGCATACAGATAATGCAATAGGACAAGTCAAGAATTTTATATGGTAAAATACATAGAGTTGAGACACATAGCTTAAAAACAAGATAAGAGCAGACAAAGATAAAGATAAAGTGTTTACATCAGATAAACAGGTCATGATGTGAGGCGATCGTCCATGTAGTCTGCAACAGAGTAGTTGCATTGAGTAGTCCATGTGTTTAAAGACATTGTATTAAAAGTAAAAATATGCATGAGAAAAATGTGGTTCGGATTCCACAATAAAATAAAGTAGGTCTCTTGGTGCTATTGGCTGTATTAGCTATTAATTAACAGCTGTGTCTAAGGAACATGTCGGGTCGGTCTTAGTCACCAACAAGACTACGGTACAGTCATAGATCGCGCCACTCATCCTACACTCATCTTTATTTATACATGTATAAAATACCTACACTCTTATGTTCGTCATTTCAGAATTAAGTATTGAAGTATTTTCTTTGATTATAGTCATTACACATCTGTGGTTTAATAAACCATTTTTCCATTTTTTTAGGCCATCTGCATAAGCCGGTTGGCCTACTTGCTCTCCGTCCCGGGAATGGTCACTTCAATGGAATATAGAAAATATATGTAACTAGGGGACCATAGCAGCAATTGCTGCCCTTCACCTCCGTTGTAATTTGGCCTTAACACGTTCAGTGCGGCAGGCATTCCAACAGGCGCTCGCCAATGGCGGCAAAACCCCGGCGTGGCACCGTAACAGCGAACGCAATTGGCATTCAAATATTTCAATCTGACGAATAACAAAAGAGCAGCGGTGATTGTACTACGTTACCCCGGGATTGGACGTAGTTCCCTAAAAGACCGAAAGGTAGCAGCACTGCCTGGATCTGTAGTCAGTGGCCTTGTAATATGGCTTGAAGAGAGAAAATCCCCGAAACCGGGACAAAAGCATTGTCAGACGGGATTTTACGGGAAATTGTCGTACCAACCTACACCAAAATAAAGCTCTCATTCTAAGCTACAGGCTAGCAACGATTCTAAAGTTCCCCGGCAATGGCTGAGCTCATACTGAACTAATGTAGTGGGGGTTGCACAACTACATCAATTGATGTAGGACGATAGGTGCGCTCGTGGCGCGACTACATCAATTGATGTAGTCAGCACTGAACGTGTTAATCATTCCCTATGCTGTGCACCATTCCTAAATACTCTCCTTCGTAGTCGCGGTCTTTCCCTAGCTATACATTTGAAAACTGCATTACCATTGTAAACTAAAATCACATAACAAACAAGTACAATGTTTACATCAGCTGGTATATTTAAAGCAGCTTATAGAAACACTGTAGCAGTTAGAAAATTACTGGATCTTTGACAGCCTTTGGGGCAGAGCAAGGGTAATTTTGGACGCTTCTAATATTTTTCCCACTGTCCTTGTACCTTAAGCTTTCAAATGAATCCTCAACAGCCATGCTACCTTTTTCCTACCTCAAGATATTTTGTGGGGATAAATTCCCTTACAGAATGAAATATGGACTTACCATTAATTTATACTATCGTCGTCAAACATATGAAAACAGTTTGCTAATAATTTATAGTTTAAGATAGTAAGAATAATTAATCTTTTAGATGGCATGAACACTTGATAACTTTTATGTGTCTACATGTATATTTTCTTGGGATTATCTAATTTCTTCTTCATTGTTCCGCTACTTGAATAGTACTTTAGTTTTAGCAAGAAAACAATTATATTTTTGCGGAGCACGTCACCTTTTTATTTAATTTTACCTGGCATTAAATAAATTGTATTAAATGATTTTTTGATATTCCAGGCCAAGTATACTGATCCCCAAACCAAGCTGTATTATGCCTTAGCTGAGGAGTTTTCCACAGTGAGAAATTTGCCGAGTGACATCATTGCAGGCTACCTATCACTACGTGGTGCCAACAACCCTATCGGCTAGGTTAGTTTATGTCTATTTAACGTATTTTGAAAATGTATTATGACTGTACACAGTATATAAATATTTTTGCGGAACATCTTAAATAAATGGGTTTGTAATTTTGTAGCTCAGTATTTATTTACTTGTCTCATTTAAGTTATTAGTTTATGGGTTAGGACAGTTATTTAATATAACGTATTAATTTTGAACAGGGCCTTTTATATATTATTAACAGAAAGTTTATATAAATACTTCAATTTCACTTAAAATGTATATTTATTTACTCTTATACTGTTGACTCCCAACAAGTTAAATACATATTTAGGTGTATATTTACTTACCAGGGTATAGGCTGGGGTGAAATTTGTTTAGCAAAAATGCTACTAACTCTCAGGCAACTGTAGCAAAAAAATATTCTTTAAGCAATTTAAAAAAAAAATTCCAGTAATATTACATGTTTCATCATTACATCTTCAATTTTATTTGTAGAAAATTTTCTATAGCCTGCAAAAACAATGTAGCATTTTTAAGTTGTGTATAGTAAAATGCTAAAAATGCTACTGCAGCTTAAACCCTGGTTCTTACCGTCTTGCAAATCAACAGTAAAGTGTAAGTGCTTTCGATGTATTTTTTCTGAAAATATGTACACACAACAAAATATTTTTTATGTCAAGTATGCTCTATGTTAAAAATTGTTTTAACAATAGATGTTGGGAAACACTTCACATGTTTGTATTTTCAAATATAGTTTCTAGGGTCAGGCAAAAATAACTAAAATAAACTAAAACCAATTAAATACTTTATTTTCATCAATATAAATAAGAAGGCATATAAGGAATACAACATGACAAATCCATGCAAACTTTCACAAATATAAAACTACTACAGTGAAATAAATTACAGCACTCATTCCTCGTTGGGTATTTTTATAAATATAAACAACATCAAATAAAATTAGTATAAAATAACGTTCTTACTTGTGTACCGTATTTTGCTATAGTTAAAGCTTCATATTGGGTAATAAATATTCAATTATTAAAAGAAATCTGTAACGATTGGTTGCTGCAAAATTATTAAAATCATGCAATCACATTCTTGGTAATAAAATAAAATTGCCCTTTGAAAGGAACGCTGTAACAAATTGGCATAGAGAACTGACAAGTTTCATAAAATTTAACTCAAAGCTTGTGGTGGAATTTCACATTTTAAAATTCATTGAAAATATATCTTCAGGTTTAGGTAATCAGCCTTTCAAAACTTGAGCAAATATGCTGGAAGAAGGCGGACATAAATGTTTAGTTGAGCTGGATAGGGTTGTGGAAGTAGGCTGCCAGGCGAAATTTCCCTGAAACAAAACAGTGTCTATTTAAATCAATGTTATTTATTTTATAAAACTGACAGAAACAGATGACATAGATTTAACTTTTTGAAAAAATATAAATTAGAAAAGTGTCTGAAACTGAAAATTTGAAAATGGGGAAGTTATGAATGGCCATTAAAAAACATCAACATATATTATTATAGCCTACAGTTAATAATTAAAATTTACATTCTTGGAAAATATGTAAAAAAATCTATATAAATAATACGCCCAACACAAAATTTTTCCTTTGAACTCCACCGCAATTTCTCTACTGATTTTGACCATTAGATTCACGTCTCATTGGAAAGAGCGTGTCACATAGATTTGCAAACTGACCTAAATTTTTTTCAAAAAGTCCCTTGGGCTCTTTCCCAGTGGCTTTTAAAGTTCCCATGATATCCTCATGAAGAACATATTTGTTTACATTATGATCAGTTGGATAGTTTAATTGCTGTTAATATTTTAGCTACAATTCAAGGAAACGTGTGCTACAAACATTAAATTTTATTAACTTTGTGATAATTAAGGAGAAAACCCCTCTAAGTCAAAATGAAACTGAGATGGCAAGGACATTAAAAATCTGTTTCCAAAAAATAAAAGTTAAGTGATTTTTTAAGAATATGGTTACATCTAAAAACCCTTTACTAAAACTTTCATTGAAGGATTCAATTATTATTCACAATTAAGGGAAACAAAAGCCTATCCAAACAACATTAAGTCTTTTAACTCTGCATATCGGGTAAATACAATTCACATTATTACAGCAACTGACCAAAAGAATACCAGTTGAAGCAAATAAAATTGTGACGGACAGGTTATACAAGAAAATCAGGTACCGGTAGTTCTTAAGTAATGTGAAAATATTTTATCGCCATTTAAAAACAATGACTGAAATTTGTAGACATACTGGTGACCATGGTGATCAAGCAGGTTCCATTATCAATGAGGAGGATAAACATGACAACCTTTTGCGGTTATGAGTACAACTGTAAGTCGGGAAACCTTTAGGCCCCTATTAGCCGTGAGCAACATGTGGCGCAGCTAGTGGAGCCGCCGGTGGAGCCGCCGGTGGTCCACAGCATTTTGGAACCGGGACACTAGTCGCGCGACACATTCGTAGCTCGCTCAAACAGCGTCTACACACGATGTAGACTGTGTGACAGGCTTCGTTTTCACGTTAATAGTGCATGCGAGCGCAGTCAGTGGCGTTGCATGTTGCCCACGGCTAATAGGCTCCATATACTGCAATGGCCCCCAACTGCCTGGACACTAAAACGGTCGCGACACATGTTGCCGGGCAAAATCACTCCCGGCAACACCTCGGGCAGCTTTTTCGGCGGCGCCACCGGTCTCCCCGCGGCTAATAGGCACCATTTGACTCCATGCCCCTCTACGCGTCCGACACCGGCGGCTCCACTAGCTGCGCCACATGTTGCTCACGGCTAATAGGGGCCTTATAGAAAACACTAAAAAATGAGATCAGATTTTGAAAAATGATCAAATATTTACAAGAAACGTTGATTATATCGAAATGGTATGGACATCGTGAGTATTTCAATAAGGCACATACTTACCTTACCTTTACCTTTACCTTTGAGTTGACTTTTTTGAATCATTGGAAATTATGACTGTTATTTTGTTTTTAAATAACTCCTGTATTACTTTGCAATTGCTCAAATTTGAGCAAAATGTACTACACTAGTATCAATAAAACAATAATATCTTACAAAATTATTCAAAAATTTTGATTAGGATTTCAATAATTTACTAGAGTTGCTCTTTTGCTCTGGACAAAATGTCACGCATGATAGCCTCTAAATTTAACTAGTATATTACACATCCATGAAATAAATACCCTCGTAAGTATAATTGTCAATAAATTACAATATTATTTTGTGAAAAAAGTCAGATTACAAATTGAGTCCACTTACTTTTTTATTGATCATTGTCATCTGAGTCTTCTTGTTTTTCCATAAAGCCAGCTGCATTTTTCACCTAGACAAATTATGCAATATTAAGTTTTTTTTCTTTTAGCAAATTTCTCAGAAATTGTATACAAATTTTATACGGAATAGGCCGTTACCATAGGTCTCATGGTAAGTTGTAAGACATGGACCCATTAATAAAAGTAATTTACCTCACCCGCCATGTTAAACTTCCTTATCCCAAGCGTGATGTATACAACTTTTTTACTTCACGAGTGATGTAAAGTTGAAAAAACTCACTCGGTGAGCTAATGAAACCCATTTAAATATTGGGTATTTAAATAACATTGAGTGGTTAACTTAAAAAATATACCTCTATGGAGCCAACGACGTTCAACGCTAGAAATCAGCTGTGCGCTTGAATTTTATTGGGTATTTACTCAGGGGAGGTATAGAAGAGGCTACGATGACAGCTGTGGGCTTCTTATTAGCTGAGGGAACGCCATTACCGTAACAAAACGATCAGTAGTCATCGGCCTCGGTGGTCTAATGGTTAGCGTGCCGGGCTGATATGCTGAAGGTCCCGGGTTCAAATCCCGCTCGTGGCATTAACTTTTTGTCCAAGATTTTTTTATTATCAGCAAGTTTGGTTGGTTTGGTTCGGTTATGACAGTTTAATTTTATTATTAAGTCATTATACAATTTTAGTAGAGCAATTTCTAGTTTTATTTAATAAACAGAATTATTTTTTCTATTAATAAACTTTTGTTATATTATTTCATTATCAGCAAGTTTGGTTAGTTCGGTTAGGTTATGATAGTTTAATTTTATAATTAAAAAATAATAAAATTGAATTTGAGGCATTTATAATTTTATTTTATGAACAGAACTATTTTTGCGATTAGTAAACCTTCTTTGCCAAAGTACTCTCTACTACAGCGCTGTTCACGGAGGAATTTTGAACTAATGCCTCATTCGTACCTCCCCTAAGTCAGACCCATTTTATTGTTATGCTTTGAAGAATTTTCCTAACCTAGCTTTTGTTTTGAAATGAACGTTACTGTTAGAAGATGAGTGAAATGGATAATGAAAAATATTGTTCGTAACCTCCTATATATTGTCGGGTCAGGTAAAATCTTGTACGTTACACGTTACGCAAGAGCTTGTTTACAGCACTTAGGAGAATTATGCAATTTGCACAACATTCACCTGTGTGATGTAAAAACGCTCTTACTACACTTGTAATGTAAATAGCTATAATAACATTAATTTAAAAGGGTACTAGTGTTTTAAATGCATTCAATTATTATTTATATGTGTGTGTGTCTGATAGAATGATAAGTCGAGTAAAAATGATCTGATTTCGATGAAATTTGATAAAAACAAGTAAACCAACGTTTATTCAAACAAGTTCCCTAACCAGCTGGTCAGACTATGGGAATGGGGTTAAATGGGGAAAAATAGGTTTTTCTAATTTTTTACCCTCAAAATGTAGAACTTCGCAGTTTCTCCCTAAACAATTTTGTACGGCTTAAATAATATAATATATTTGTTTCATAATATAATTTCAATTTGTTTTTATACGGTTATTGGTAAAAAAAAAATCAAAATTCAAAACTATGTATAGGTACTCAGGTCAACGCAATTCCAATCAGGAAAATGGAAATTCGCTTTGTCTGCAGGTTTGCTGCGGCCGGCCTGTACTGTTAGTGGATTTGGAATTGAGTACAGTTATGCTTGCACAGATAGTTAATTGAAGGTGTGGTTTTGTTTCTTTTGATCATATTTGATTTTAGAGTTTAAAAAATTGTGCTGGACCTTACCTGGGTAAGGTTAAAGGGTTTCGGCAGCTCAGAGGGGTCCGGGGCGGAGGGAAGGAAATAGAAGGCATTGTTGGCTGGCAATAAGAACTTGGCGGGGGACAGCAGTGCCATACACTCCTCCTTGCTGGGCGGAGTCCGGGGCTCTGGTAGGTGTATAACCGTCGGCTGAAACAAATAGTCTCGCTTAACTTACACTTTCACAAGCTATCTGTTTAGCTTGGTTATTGTTTTGCTTAAACCCTCACATTTGGCACTAGGAACTCGGAAAGTTTCTGCACAATTTTTTTCACTATTAGCAATCCCATGAAATGACTGTGATGTCGGTGAACTCGTTCAACAGACACCTAAATAACTATTGCCATAATGTGCTACCAAGATGTATTTGAAACGAGAAACTTCCCCTCGTCCAAGTCTAGACATACACGTGCGTGGTTACTAAAATCACGCTTACTCCCCCCTAAACATTTCTTTTAAATATTTAGAATAGATTTTTTAACCCAATCAATATACCTGATCATAGCAGTCGCTGTGCATTCCATTGTTGTTAGTTGTAAGATTTTTCCCATTCCACAGCATATTCCATGGACTATCTTGTCTTGGCTTGTTTCCATTTGCCTACACAACAAAAAGAATTTAAACTGCAACTCAGATAGGAAGGAAACTTAAAATATTCCTAAATAAACGAGCCTTGGGGCCGTTTCTACGTGATTTACAGAAAAAAAAAACCAATTCCCTCGCTCTTTAAGGGTTTACTTTTATCACCTTCGAAACACCACAGTATTTAATATGAAAGGGTTTACTTATAAAGTACAAAATATATTTGTTGGATTAACTCACAAAATGAAACAATAATAATTTTACGCTAAATAAGTTTCTTTTAAGCTTTGAATAATTGTCGGAAATAATCGATTTAAATCTGTATCGATTAAAAAATATATATATAAACACACTACAGTAGAACCTCTTTAATCCGAACTAATTGGGACCAGGGGTAGTTCGGACTATTGAATAGTTCGGATTACAGAACATATTGTTGTTTTTACTTAACAATAGCTAAAACATGGCTAAAATTGATCAACATTATTTTGGGAATAGTGAAAAAAGGTTTTATAAAGTAAAATACAGTGTTTATTTAATACAGTAGTTAACATAGTGAATAAACACTACTGTAAATTAAATACAGTATACAATAAAGAACTGCTGTACTGTGTATAGAGTACAGCAATGAGGGGTTCGGATTAGTGGACGTTCGGATTACGGGGGTTCGGATTAAAGAGGTTCTACTGTATACTCAAGTCAAAAAAGCTACATAATAGCTTGTGGTGGAAATATTACCTTAGTGTGAACTCCTTTGGGAGCTGACTGTGATACAAACCGAGAGTCTGGAAAATCTGCAAAATAAAAAATCTATTATATACATTATTTACATATATGGATTCTACAAAATTAAGACTCATAGTTATATTCATATTAGATAACTTAATTTTATATTAGAGAAATTGACATCAGGAAATGACAAGTTTTCCCCACAAAGCTCATCCATAATCATGTACCACTAGATCCGAGCAACCGAACCCTTCAAATTCACATTTATTGAAGTAAACAAAGTATTTCTTACCAAAATGCTTGCAGGGATCTAGGTTGTTGAAGTTCGGGTTTCTAACCATTCCTGGAGGTAATGCGATACCTGCAGCTGAAAATAATTTATGTTCATTAGAAAACCCAAAAATTCAAGGTAACTTCAAGAAACTGGGTGTATTATGACATAACTTACTAATTTATTTATCACTTATTAACGGATCCACCATTTTTACAAGAAAATACAGAGGGTCTTTGTGACAAATGACTGGTCAGTACATAAGTAACTAACTATCGACTACTGTACTCAAATATATAAAGAATGAGGAAATGGCGTTAGATAGCTGTGCCCACATTTTCTTCTGTAGGAGTAGGTAGAATTTTCACAACGTAGATAATCTATTTGCTTTTTTGCGTAACACACTAATAAATAGAAAGCCTGAACTCACCAAATAAAGTGATTCCCAGTCTGTTGAATCTAAGCTTTCTGGAGATAATGGTAAACTAATTGATAACCCTGATCAGCTTACTATAAAAAAGTAGAAAAAATTCATGTGTCCTATTACACTTACAACAAACTTTATTTTGTTTTGATCAAAAGCAAAAAATTAAAAGAATAATTAGAAGTTCCAATGTATCTAACCTAACTACCCAAAAGCAATCTTTATCTTAGCTTCTGAGTAATGGTGAGTTGACGAGTCAGTAATATGAGACACTGTTAAAACCAAGGGAGCAATGTCATGAGTTTGCATCCTGTAGACGGCTCATTCTTTGCTCTAATAGATATACAGTATAAATTCAGGGGCAAATTCAACGTATAAAAGCAGCTGATGCGGACCAATTTTCCTCCAAGTTTTCCCAGTTACCTGCAAGTTCAACATTGAGTGAAAGCAGTTTCCCCTGGCCTCGGCTGGTGATCTGAACCACATGGCCGATCGCCTGAAGCAACGTCAGAGTGGAAGAATATCCAAGCTTTGCCGGCGAGGGTAGAGCTCCGAAGTTACGACGGAACGCAGACTCGAAGGAGCTCAGCGCCAGACGTCCATCAGAGCTGCGTAATAACTCGTAGACATCTCTCGCAAAAAGCTCCAAGGGAGTCAACTGGACACTGTTGTCTACAACCTGAGGCAGAAAAACATTCACTAATCAACATAATAATAACGTATGTATTAAATCAATAGAAAAAATTCAGCCTTTGTTAATAAGAAGACGTCCAATTTAGTATATATATGACGACCGGACAGATAGCAACCTGCGCAAGGATTTATAACGTATGTAAGAGAAGGTAGCTTTCTAAGCAGCCGACCTATAGAAACAGAAACCCACTTTTGTGCCAGCCAAGATTTGAAGAGATCAAGCTTTTCCTCGTATAGTATTTATTGAATTGAAACTAACCTCTGAAGATGTTCTACATGAGGATAAAATATCAAAGTTTGTTTAGTTTCCTTTTTTGTGTATCTATTGCCACATATCACCTGATGCTTTATCAGGTCCTTAATTATTGTTGTTTAGTTTTGATATTGACATACTTAGTTATTAAGGTCCATTGTTTTTTCATAATATTGAAAGTGTTGTTTTTGTTATTTTTGTTTGACGATTGCCGATGATCCAATGTATCCTTATGATGACAAATAAAGATTTATTATTATTACTGGGCCCTAATTACCTCATGCAAGCCAACCTCTATCCCCTTACAAACCAAAAAATGCTATACCTAATGTAACTTATCACTACCCTTATTGCCAGCTTATGATTTCTTTAGACAAATCATTTCCATACCTCAACAACTCCTTCTAAGTCAGACTCAACAATGTGGAGTTCGAATGGCTGCTGGTAGTGTTTCAAGAATGCGTGTTCAAAGTCCGGAAGACTCATCCTGTTGGCTCCATGTTCCCACAGGATACGCAGGACTCTCAGTCGCAGAGTCCGGGCCTTGCTTTGGTCCACAGGAGTAATGAAAGCGGTCTCGTTATCAGTGGATATCTGCCAAATTAATTGTGTGTTGTACAGGTACCGCATTTTATAAATCAGCGTAACTGCATAACTTAAGTTTAACATTGCAAGTGATTCGACATATTAATAACCCTCACAACTGTCTACATACACCATTGTTGAAAACTAAAAGTTATATTTTATACACCATTGGTACTTAAATAGAAGCATAGACAAATAGAATAAATATAGACCGTTAGCTGTGCTGCGGTTAGCATAAGTTCTGGCGTCCACCGCTAGGTTTGCCGTGTAGTTACGGCGCACACCACTGCAGCGTCTTCTGGTCAGATACGGCTTCTGCGCTCCTCGCCTGCAGCGGTGTGCGCCGTAACTACACCGCAAACCTAGCGGTGGGCGCCGGAACCTTCCTTTGACAGTCTATATTTTTATTCTATTTATCCATGATAGAAGTCAAAGTTAGATTAAACGCTTTTAAAAGAATGTGGTCCGAAACCCATTAAGTTTTTTGGATGTGCTGGGAATTGAACCCGCACCGAAGTCCGAGATGCTACCCAAAATGTAATGGTCCTTTTAACACGTTTCAAAAAAAAAATGAACTGACAGGTACCAATTTATTGTAGCACCCAAAAACAACAATGAAATAAATTCATTTTTGGCTTAAAAAGGTCCAAACTGGTCAGAACTGGTTAAAATAAAAATGCATTAGGAAGATTAACTTTTTCAATTTGTTATGGGGAATATTTTTTCATTGATATTTACTAAAAGAATGATTGTTAAAGGACAATGACAATAATAATAACTAAAGAAAAGGTATTTACTTCTGTAGGAAAATACAAAACTATGTACTTGAATTGTGGGCAATTTGCTGAGTACTTCCATCAAATCATGACAGCCGTATGCGGAAGGTTTCAGAGCGTAGCCAAACTGCCACAAGTACGCTGAATGGGCATTTTCAACAGCTAAGCCCGGAGGATATCTCGGCAGAACTAATTCTGACATCTGATTGGCGAGAACTTTAATTTTCTCTGGTTGAGTCAACGATACTTTTCTAACACCTTCTCCCTCCTCTTCAACCTGCATACAAATATAATGACAGTACTATTATTAAAGTAAAGTAGTTGCTAGCAAATAGAATTTAAGCCTTAACAAATATATTAAAACCATAACTCAAAATATTATTTTTATTTCAATAACCTAAGGTGGTCCTGGACCTGGTAAAAAAATCTCATGAAAAGTTTATGAGCCACCTCTGTGTGGCTCTGTTTGGTAGACGGCTCCGAAAAAAATTGACGGGATGGGTGAATATTTTGTAATTTTTTTTTGCACCTTAAATCAGGCATTCTCCTACTTTCAGCCTAGACTCACAGTGTGTTCGCCAACAAATTGAAGTCATTTGGATTTTTTGTCCATAAAATTAGGGGTAATATGATAAAAGAGGCATAATTTAAAAATTCATAGGTACATTTTGTAGCTATACTAACCTTGACAACTTCAGGTATGGCCTCAAACAGCTCGATGAGTTTGGTAAAGCCAAAGTCAGCAACGCGACACTGAGTGCCATAGTGGTGATGGTATGCTGGGATGAACTTTGCAAACTCCATAGAGCACTGTGGTGTGTGGCTCAGCAGCTCTACCACCTGCGGAATAAATATCAATCAAGGGAGGAAAAATCAAAAAAGGTCAATGAAGGACAGCTACAATGAAGAAGAACTGAATAGAGAAAAATGCACCTAATTGGTTGTTTTGTCTACATTCTTTTTAAACGTACATGATGGTTTCCCTCGTTTTAAAATCAGCTTATCATCAGTCAGCGCCAAACTCATCCAACTGAAACCAGTTAGTCTAGTAGCTCAAACCATGGTGCCTGTAGAAAATGTTTTCAAGCCATTGACTTTTCTCAAGATCGAACCGGCGAACTTTTGATTGTCAGGTGAGCTGCTATAACCTCTCTGCTATAACTACTTGGATCCTGATACCTTGACATGATGTACCAAGTTCTTCGATATTACCTGCAGTGCAAACTGTTTAGTACGTTCTATTTCCTCCGGGGTCTGTTCTCGCTTGGGGATAGCGATCGTAGCCTCGCTACCCCTTCCGCTGAGTATGACGATGTTGGCGCTGAGCTGTGTGAGGAGGTCCTCCAGGTAACACAGTCCGTAGTCCACTGGGTCGAAGGGACGATTCAGAGTGCGCTCAAACAACACGGCCAACTCTGACACCAACACCTGTGGGCATGCTTAGGTTCATTAACAAAACCCTCAATAAGTAAATAATATGGCAATCTTAAACACATCAAACATTATTTTGCGGCTGGTGTCATTAGAATCCAAGGGTGGAGAATTCTAGAAGATTGCTGCCAGACTAGTTCTACCTTCTAATAGATCTGAACGGACTAAGTCTCAGCACAGCCACTGAATACACCTTACAATACAGTAAGGGTGAAATGTCAGCTATCTACAATTTTTCATTGCTGTTGGCCATTAGATCTGTTGGATCAATTATATCATAGAGAAAAGAATTAAATATAGACCGACAGCAGTGCTGCGGTTAGAATAAAATATTCTGGCGTCTGCTGCTAGGGGTGCTGTGTAGTTTCGCCGCTGCAGCGTCAAGCACTAGTGAGCGTTGCCATGACAACATGGTAGCTGGAGCCAATGTTGCCAACTTCTGTTGAATTCCCCGGAATCCAGGGAGTAAATTTCCCTGTTTTGTAAATTTACGATGATTTTAAACAAAAATGGCCTTTCTTCCCGTTAAAATTACGGAATTTCAGAATTCTTTACTTGACCCATATTGAAAAGTGATAGATTGGTAGCATTACATTTGCAATGGTGGTAGTGCTGGTAGCAGACGCTGAGTTAACGATGGTAGAGAATCGACGTACACCGAGCACGCTCTAGCGGCACATCTCAGAACCTTCCTTTGTCAGTCTATTTAATTCTTTTGTCTATGATATTGATTTTCCGTCTCAGCTCTGACTCGTTCTTTTGAGCATATGATCACGGTTTTGGCTTTTGCTAAGCCATCGAGAAATGGAAAAATTGAAGCCTTGATTGGATATGATTACGGCTTAACTAAAGCCAAAACACGGGTCATCCACTACATAGGACTAGTCAGAGCTGACACGGAAAATCTGGTTTGTATTATCTAATCTACAACTGACGACTCGGTTGGTGGTGAAGATCACTATGAATTACTCATTAGAATAAAACAGTTGAAAGATAAATAATAAACTGAATGGCAGATATATCTCCATGCAAAGACAGATGGGTTCCTGTGGCTTAAAATAAAAGGTCAGTCTAACGGTTTTGATGTTTTTAGATCAACATATAAAATACTATCCAATCATCATTATGATCACTACAGTATTTGGACACACCTGAGTTTGAGAGATTTTTATATAACTGATTACCTGTTTGCTTGGTTGGGACTTAAGTACTCGTAGAAGATCGGAAGTAAAACGACGGATCTGAGCTCGGTATGACAAAGTCACTACTCGTTTGTTGCCTTCTCCCATCACCTGCAAAGAATCAAATCAAATTATCTTAATGTATTATCTGTTATAGACAAACAGTATTTCCTATGTCCTCTATTGTCGGGACCACATAAGTTTGCAGTTGAGGGAGGACCCTATTTACCATATGGTTTTGAATGAACCAATGAGAACGGTGCGATGTTGCCAATAATGTAATAATACCAGCTGATTTGAAAATATTGCTTTGTATATTCTAATTAGTGTTGTCAATGGGCGATGTGGCAACGTCGCACTAGCCTTGTCTTGTGATTGGCTGCCACCAACTGCAAACTTACGTGGTCCCGACAGTAGGCCTACTGCTAATAAACAATAAATTTTAAATGCTATAGAACAAAATAGTAGAACAGCCTGTTAGTAGTGGTTGTTTGACTTAAGCTAAATGTTTATTTGGATGCATTTAGATTGAATATTTCAATATTTTGGTCTCTATATTTTAGCTGTATAATGGCAATAACATTTACAGTGAAAAATCTTGTCTTAATTTTCAATAAATTTAAACTAAACATAAAAAAAATAAAACAACAAATCACATGTATGACAAACCTGTAATAGCATCTACATATAGCTTGTTTAACCATATTTTAACGCTCCTTGGACACTATGGTATACGGACGATTTCCATCATCCGGTTGAAAAAGGTCCGATTTTACTTTGTGTCCATGTTTCTTTCACATTGGACAGTTTCTGACCGTACAGCAAGATTAATGTGTTCACAACATTACAATATAAACATAAAAAGTATTGAATTGAGAGGGCAGATCATAAACATTGCAACAGCTGATTTATTTGCACTGGCTGGTGGGCTCCCGTTTCATTATGAGGGCGCATTATGATAGCTAGCATTTAACTACACTGTACTAGTGCCAATGGCCATGGCGTGACAACTGTCCGGTTCACTGGTAGTGGACAGTTGCAACATGGCATGGTTTTCTGCCGTCCCGTCGCCATTACCGTGTAGTGTGAAAGCTCTCATGCTCTTCTTTGCTCCACTAAAAAAAAGGTACCTGCATGGTTTTTAACGGTGCGGCGAAAACCATACAGTGTGAAAGAAACGTAAGGGTGTTGGACATAAACTTGTTGATAATCCGGCAACAGCTGGAGCAATCTTGGACCTTAACTCAATTCACTTTTTTAAATTAAGTTGACAACAAATACAAACCTGTACAACATGAGGCAAAGTCTCAAACAGGTCTATTAGTTTGGTGAAGCCGTAGTCAGCGACACGACACTGCCGACCAAAGTGGTGGTGATACGCAGGGATGAAACGGTTAAACAACAACTGGCAATGAGGCTGCATCTTGAGCAGATCTACTAACTCACGAGCAAACAGCGTCACATGGTTGACCAGAGACGGACTCACGCATATCGTAATTGAGTCTGTGGAAAAAAACATCTATTTTAGAACATAAAATTCCCATTGAAAGCCCTGAATTTTTTTCACTGTTCAATTTGAATCTAAAAAAATCACAAATTTTCATCCAAACAATAACTATCAGCTGACTGTGTGCTCTAAAAACTTTTTTTCTGTCTTGACGATATTTTTTATTTTGACTATACAATGTTCAAAGTGATGATTTCGCTACCGATCGCCACATATTTATGATGCTGCGGTCATTGCCACGGACCGAGGTATACATTTTAATATTACACATAGACCGGGTGACACTTGGTTAACAGTACACAAATACCAGGGGCCAGTGATGCAGCAAAGTAAAAAACAGTTTTGCCAACTATCATATGATGTCACTAATCATCATATCAACAGACCAAGTGACACACATGTGCAACAGACATCCCTGTAGACCACTGTAGATAATTCAGTTCCTTCAAATAGACCGTGACAAAGATATGCTTTTAATAACATTGGGACACTGACGCAAATATGTGAAAGTTAGTCTATTTTAATGTGACCAACTGTTGCATATGTGTGTCGCTGGTCCATATTATAGAAAGATTTAGTACTATTGCGGTAGAGAACGTGTTAAATTTTAAAATCATAAATGATCTTCCACTTAACAACATTGAACCTTCGTAGGTCTTTTGCTTTTTCAAATCCATCCAAGAGTGAAATTAGGTACATAGGCTCCCTAGGTACTATGTCTCTTACCTAATTTCTAAGAGACTACTAAGAGATGACCTAATTTGTAGGAGATTAATCTACTCATGGAGTGCTCTTTGAACACTATTATGATGTAAGAATGTTCTTCCTAAACGCAACTGACAAATGTGCTCTGTGAGTGCCACTTATCCTGTGCCTGTGTGCCATAATCTAAAATAGCTGATACCTACGAAGAAAAACGTTTCTGTTTCTTTACACATTTAGTGACCAATATAAAAAAAAATATATTCTTTAGTCGAACACATGACACTGACCTTCATTCTTGCTGTCTAGAGGAGGCTTGGGTCTACACAGGCGCAGGTGCTTGTTGCTACCACTGTGGATCAGCTCCACATTGCTGATGCAGGTGACCAGGTGCTCCAGAGGAACACTCTGCTCGTCTACCACCAGAGGCTCAAACTGTGCTGCATAGCAATCCATCAGGCTGTCAACATAGGAGACATGTGGTAAACAATGTGACTGTAAATCTCCCACGCAGAGAATTTAAGTAGGGACCATTGAAATAGATTCAGTATAAAAGAAGTATGAAGTATTAAAGACTCCAACATTGATGGAAAGCCCAATGATCAAAGACGGGGTCCAGTTCCAAACCAGCTACTGACTTTTCTCAGAAATGAAACGGTGACATTTTGGTTACACTAAAAACCGGCTTGTAACTCTTAATTTCAACCTGTGTTTCAGTAGGGTTTTAAATGTAGATAACAAATACAAATTTAAACCTCCATGGAAGGTATCTCCACAAATAAATACCTAAATACATTTTTAATTATTTCTATGATATGTATTACTTACCTAGCTAGTGGCAAGTAGTTATCGTGGCTCTGAATCAAGCTGGCTAAGTGTTGGGACAATTCTGCCAGCCGCACTCGCACATTGGCCAGACTGGGCTGCTCCTGCTCCGCCCATCCCTTGTCTACGGCACCACGATGTTGACTGTGACGCAGACAGAAAGGCAAGTCCACTCCGCTGACTGTGTCAGTAGACAGAGCGGGCGAGGGAGTGTTTCTGTACTCGGGGTTCAGTGTTATCGTACGTCCGTTGTTCTCCTCGATGATAACACAGACATCTCGCATCCTGTAGAGGTCCGACACACCGACTGATGTTAGATACCGGCTGGCGAACAGCTCTCGGAATGTAAACAAGGGCATTTTGTGTTCAGGGACTTCAAGAAGCAGAGCAGCGATCTGGTTCCTGTAAAAATAGTAGCATAATTTTTAAAGTATCAATACTGAAGTGTTCTCTAATAGTGAATACAAAAGCATTATTTAATCACCACTTGACTTTTATACCTAAGTGAAGCTGTAAACACTTACTTAACGTAGTGCGAGTTCTGTGGAGAAGACGAGTGAGCGTACGCAATCATGATCCTCTTGAACCCGACCTTACGCCGGTGGAGCTGTGAGATGGCGTACTGAGCGTCCTGCACTGACGGCACTTTGATTGAAGCTGCTAATGTACCGTCTGACTGTACAAACACCGACACGTGCAGCACCTGGAAAACAGGAGGAGGAGTGCTATATATGACGTATATTAAGATTCAGTTAATCTTAAAAAAGTACTCCTAGTTTGAATTTTTAAGTTGGTGGTGAAGGTGATTTAATAAATAATGAAATTTAATTAACAATATTTTTTTATCCAGGACTTGATCTCAATTTAAATCTAAATTAGGAATACTTTGAGATTCATACCAGTGTGCAAAGGTAGTACAGAAACCCAGTTAGCTGGAAAATCACACATAAAAACACTACTAGAGAAAATGTGCAGTAGCATAGCCTCCTCTAATACAAGGCCGCGGCGTTGGTGTGTGGCTACGTCGCACCAGCATGCGCATTGCCATGTTGATAAGAGTAATAACCTAATTATTTATTTATTGAAGAAATCACAAGATAATTTATAAACATAAGTAACTACCTATGCAGACAGTTAAGATGAATCTGAAATAAAAGTGTAAACATAAACATTGTGCATATGCTCCATTATAAATTAGTGAAACAGCTGTTTCGGTTTGCTGGGACAGAGGTGTTGCCATTTTTCTCTCGCCTTGTATTAGAGGAGGCTATGGAAGTAGTTAAAGCATAGACGAAGGGAGGGAACAAACAATGCTCACTATGAACAACAATGCTACAAGTACTTACATATGCATACATACTGTAATGTACAGGGTGGCGCAGATGGATTGGGTGGTTTTAAAATACTTGTCAAACTGTCAATTTTAAAGGTATTGGATTGAAATAAAGTGTAAAACGTGTAGTTACAATGGAAGTTTATTGACAATAAATTAGTTAAGTTAGTTTTTAAAAATTATATCAATTAAATGCCTTCCTTCTCGAGCGACGCATTCTTGGAGTCGGTCTTCGAGGTTCCGCATTTCTCGCTCAAGCACATCACCAGGAATTGATGTGATTTCGTTGTAAATTGCAGCCTTCAACTCCTGAATGGTCCGGGGTTTGTTCATGTAGACCCTTGCTTCAGGAGTTGAAGGCTGCAATTCTCAACGAAATCACATCAATTCCTGGTGATGTGCTTGAGCGAGCAATGCGGAACCTCTAGGTCCGACTCCAAGAATGCGTCGCTCGAGAAGGAAGGCATTTGATGGATATAATTTTTAAAAACTTAACTAATTTTTTTTTTTTCAATAAACTTCCATTGTAACTACACGTTTTACACTTTATTTCAATCCAATACCTTTAAAATTGGCAGTTTGACAAATATTTTAAAACCACCCGATCCATCTGCGCCACCCTGTATAAATTTATATGTATATCAGTTTATACTCCTTGGTGTTTGCCTATATTCATGGGGCCCCACCACTACTATTGTAACTAACGTTGATGAATAAATCCTTCTATGTTGAACCATCACAAGATACATTCGTAATTATTTTAACAAGTTCTAAATTGATTAATTATGTATGGTATATAAAGGAAATATACAAATATGTAGCCTATAAGAGAAATACGCCTACACTATACATACCATAACATGCTCTCTGAACGCAGCCATGAGCAGTTTCTTCATCTCCCTCAAGTCAATGCTCTGATCCAGGTTGGTCACGTGGAGCTCCACAGGGTTGCAGGTCGGCTGAGGGATCGGGTTGAAACAATACTAATCAACAGAGGATTTTAATTTTAATAAACAATTCTTTAACTAACATATTTCATGATTTTACTAGGTAATAGACTCCAAATTTAACGTTAACATCCAAACATCTTGGGTGTGTTGCTATCCTAGAGGTAATGTGAGAAAGACAGGTTGAAAACCCAGCATACACACAACAATTTCAGGGGTTTTGGCCACTGCTTAAGTAAATAAAGAAATAAGTGTTGGACTTTCACTCATGATCTGTATATAAGCTAGCATGTGACTATTATTTTTATTTAAGTCATATGATTTTATATTTGATTATTGCCTTTGTGTTTTTCCTTGATTCAATGGTTTTCTATTCTGTCTAAATTTAATTTGATATTCATGAGTTTTAGAGTCAATTCCACATTTAATATGCTCTCCCCTTTAGGTTATTTTTGTTTAGAGGTTCAATTCGGTAATTTACAGTACTAGTCATTTTGTGAAAATGTTATGAGATGTTACAAAAACAAAACTTTACACTTCAACCAAGGCCGACTGATAAATTATTTAGATTGAAAAAGATTTTACTTGGGAATATATTAAATTCATGAGTCTAGAACCCTATGGGCCCATAACCTAAAGGGGAGAGCATATTAAATGTGGAATTGACTCTAAAACTCATGAATATCAAATTAAATTTAGACAGAATAAAATACTAGTTTTTAAGTGAATCAAGGAAAACACAAAGGCAACAATCAAATATAAAAAACACGATCACATGGTCACATGGTCTTAGTCAAAGCTTATACAGATCATGAGTGAAAGTCCAACAATAAGTACCGGTACTCATTTCCTTGTCTGTGGTATTATTCACTGTACACAACCATAGATAAAACATACTCCCTTAGTAGATTTCTCATCCTTATGGAACAGCTGAAGACAATTTTATTGTTAGTTCTGTACGGTTTATGTAGAGGTCGTGTTTTGTTTACAATTTGTTTCCCGTTATTACAGCCATTTAAAACCTCGATTAACCAAATAATACGATCTAATCATAAACAATAACTTGTCCCCTAGTTATATAACCAAACAGTAAAGCACAAATCAAGAAATTAACCCTAAAATAATAGAAACAAAGTTTCGTCGACACTAGCGCCCATGTGTCACGTACATGAACTAGACACGAAAAACGTGCTGCAAAATTTACAATGGGATGAGAAGTCTACTTGTGTTGGTTAGTCTGTGACACAACTCTCCGGTTGTAAAATTTATTTCCCTAAAAGTGCATTATTTGCAACTCTCCTAGAAAGTATTTAAAAAATCCAAAAGAATGTAATAAGTAAAAAACAACAATCAAAAATGTATGTTAATTTTTGTACACTTACTTCACTCTCCACTCTTCTAGTTAGGTTTACAATTGGTGGGGGGGGAATAGAAGTGTTCACTCCCAGCATAGAGTACGGGGAAGGGGTTCGTCTGAACCCCTTTGAACCTTTGTGGCTCGTCTGAAACATAGAGCAAGTTTTATACGAGATAAGTACAGTATTTAATTTAAAGTTGCCGAAAGATACATCTGTACATAATCTGATACAAAGTTTTTTGACCAATTATTTATCACAATTTTGAAAATTAGAGGAGTACCGTAATTAGAAGAGTAAAATTCAATATTTTTGTTGAAATAAATAACAACACCATATCTACTAGAAATGTAGAAATATTTGATTTTGAAACTAATTATAGTTGTATACACATAAAAATTTCAAATAATAGATTTTTCAAGCTCATAGTATCGTAGACTCATACTTTTTCTCTCAACAACTGAAAGAGTAATCAGTAAAGTTGTAAAAACAAATTAATTATAATTATCATTCATGAGTCGTTTTGTAAAATAAACCTCTTCAAACTAAAATGTCAGTAATTTATACTTCTAATCCAGATTGATATGTTGTTATTAGAGGCTGAAGATGAGTTTTGATGTAAACTTGAAATATACCTCGACATTTTTTAGTAAATTGTGATTAATTTATTTTAGTGATGAGTAACTGACAACCTAAGAATAATATTAATAATGCCATCACGAAGGAAAAAACATACCGGAATGAACTTCTAATCCAATGAAAAATAAACCAACAATGTGGTAATAAGCCATAGAGAAGTAAGGCACAGAGGAAAAATCCAATTATACACTTCAGTGGTGTCTAGCATTGAAGCTGATGTTTGGGGCAACATCTAACACAACCCTTTCACCATCATGTCCTAAATGGTGGAGGAAGGTCTTGTGCCCTGTGCGATAGGAATTTCCACACAGTGCTTGCCGTTGGGGGTCTTCCTTGCACTTCACAAGTATAAGCCGTCACAACATACCAGAGCTTAAAGTGCACGGTGGTCCCATAAGTGTGTTTCCTCTATACCTTACTTCTTTGTGAGTACGCCTATAACCTAAAAAATTTGTGTAGTACTAATGATGGTCTAAATTACCTTCAGTCGTCCAGTTCAAACTGATCCGAAGACAACTAAACCATTAATGTTAACCAGTTCAGGGGCAATTCTACATCTCGTGATGTCAAAATATTAGTTTACTAGCTGTGATGACAGAATTCAACTGATCAAGTTATACAAAATTTAAATGTAGGTTATAAAATATCCAGGACTCACATGATTGTTGTTCTGGACCATATTATCCATTGGGGAATGGGGTCTGGCACGCTTAACTCCTCTATCCATCTCTTCCCCATTGCTGTTCACGGAATCTGTACTGGTGTTGGCGCTCTTTAGAGAATCTGTGTGGAAAAGAAGAATACAAAAAATTAACGAATATAAAACCAAATACATGAAGAGTCTCGATTATCTAAACTTCAATAATCCGACGCTCCGTGTAATGTTTTTGTTTATTTTTTAATTTCTGATGATGGCTTCAAAACAAAAAAAATCTTTCATAAAGACACTTATACAAATTTTTACCTTATTGGAAAGCAAGAAATACCTATATTTTTTTAACACCATTATTGTATTTTTTTCAAGATATCACCAATAAAGGTAATTTTGTCTATATTGTTGAACTTATTAGGTAGTACCAATAATAATGTAGTACCACAGTATAATTTTCAATTGCAGGTTCTATAGTTGTTTTCACGTTTTGCCTATCCGACCTTGCATAAGTTATTTGAATAATGGTAAATTATTTTTAGCATATCTTACCACAGAATGATGATCGAAGATCTGGCTGACAGTTAGGCTCACTGCGTCTACCCAAAATTGGACGTCCAACGGTACACTAAACAAGTCATTTTACTTGCATTTTGTTATATTGTGGTAAGAATGTCCTACATTAATATTATAACAACCACTTTTCAAGCTCACAAAGGAGTCTTTTATTTTAAATCTTGACTTAAAATTTGTATAGTGTAAATATTTGTCTTGGGGTGGTGTATAGTGTGTATACATACCACATCAAATTTTTCATGCAACAAGCTGATAAAAATTTGGATTTAATGAATTTCTACAAAACACTAAAAGGAATGTATGTAAATGTAGAAGTAATAAGAACAAATCGGTCTTAACCAAAAACTAGGGTATATTTTTTATCCTTAGTATATTTTGTGTCGATTTTTACATTCATAAAATGATTTAGAAAATGACATAATCTTTGTTCCTAAACTGTAAACAATTGCCTTATTTAAGTACTAAGGTTTCAAAGTGGATTTATGATGATAGAGAATTTAATGCTACACAGTACAGTACCACAAACTCGGCGTAATGTGGATTGGAAGGGTGCCGATGTTTGTGAAATGCCGGGTAATCGGGAACAAGCGTTAAAAATAAGAACAATAAAATTTTTAAGCTTTTTAACCGCTTTTTTTATATTTATATTACAAGTCAGTATTAAGTCATCATATATAGTACAACAAATCCTTAGTACGAGTTGCGAATAATTTTACTTAAGCTGGCTTGAGTCCATGATTAACTCAGACTCAAAAAACCACTAATTTTCTGAGCCAGGTGATGGCCGAGTTATCCAGACTACTGTGTTATCGAGTGCCGAGTTTGCGGGACTCTACTAATGGTAGAGCATTTAATGGTCCTGGCTAAAAAAACTGATCTTGCGAGCTTACTCAGTAACAAAACTACAAAAGGCATCTCACTCTGCATGCATAAGTGATTTAACTCCATTAAAGAAGAAAAATTGTCATCCTTTCCTTCTGTTGTATTAAAGAAACCCATCTTACCTGTGTTTGAACCAAGGATGGCCGAGGATGAATATTCCAGTTTTGGTTCCAAAGTGCTGGAGGGACTGGGAAAGGAATATTCTCCTGGTTGTTAATAAAAGTAACTGGCTGCGGCTGGGAGTTCAGTCCAAAAAAACTGGAACATCAACAGTGAAGTTAGCATCTGTTAAAATAATGTAGCCTATACCTCAAATACAGAACACAATGTTAAAATCACTCTATAAATTAAACTGCTTAACTTTAATATTATGTATCACCTATTGGAGCAATTTTAATAATTAATATTTTAAATATTTATTCATAACAATTTTGATTTTTCATGTAATGTTTAATGTTTGGTAAAAATTTAAATATTCAGATTTTAAAAAGTTACAGTTTCATGTTCTTTGAGGTATAATCGTGTCATGTAACAGGTTATTTGGGCAGAAGTTTTGGCCTTTTTTGCAATTTACCATCTTCAGCGCAGTAACGAAGCACTCCTGAAGATGCTACAGTAAAATTCTGTTAAAAATTACCTGTAGGCTAATGTATGACACAGCTTAACTCTGAAGACCACGATATATTACAGTTCAAGTGTGCATTAGAAGCCTTACCTCCATGTTAAAAAAACATAGACTTAATAATTAGAAAAAAATATGTGCCACAATTGCACCTTTTACCACAGAAAACATACTACTATAACCCAGAATGCCAACCGCGTGGTAAAAAGCATTAAGTGTTTTGAGAGAGCTTTGCCTGTCAATCGTAGGCAGCGCCACCAGCGTTGCCATGCACTCAGCATAGCAACGCTGGTGGCGCTGCCTACGATTGACAGGCAAAGCTCTCTCAAAACACTTAATGCTTTTTACCATGCGGTTGGAATTCTGGGTTATAGTAGTATGTTTTCTGTGCTTTTACCCGATTTAGGGGTTGGACTGGGAGGAAAAATAGCACCGGCATCAAAGCAACTGCAGCTCTGGACAATAAAAAGAATTCTATTTGTAGGTGGGAAGTCCAGAACCTGCTTTGATAATATAGGCCTATATAGATTTTTTTACTTTTAAAATCTTGAAATTTCAATATGTAGTAAGTAAAATGCCCCCACTAAAAATATATAGTTTGTCACTCTCTCATCAACACTCCTGGATAGTGACTTCTGTTGCAGAATTTCTTTTAGCGTGATTTTTAATTGAATAATTCAATTTTTCCATGAGTGGCATTGAAGTTACTGTATGCAAAAATTACATAATTTCTTTTTTGGGTAAGACCCATTAAAAAAAAACGTATTTGCTCTTTTCCTTTTCTTACCTATTGAGACCAAACCTTCTTAAGCCGCGTTTACACCGGAGTTTCAAACAAAAAGTTGCAAACTTTTATTGCAAACACCAGTTGCAAACAGTAGTTTCAAATAAAAGTTTGCAATTTTTATTTCATGGTTTTGTTTCCATGTTTCATGAAAATGTTTGAGATAATTTCGACCTTGATTGAAATATCATTGATTGATAAAAAAACTCCCACTTGGTTTTCCCATCGTCGGCCCCCGATCCAGACTTATTGCCCTTTTTAGATTCTCTGTTAAATTGAATTATGAGGTTCCTCATCCTATTTTGGACCTCTGCCTTGCTTAAGTTAATTTCCCGTGAAATGTCATTCCACGCATAGTTTTTCTTGTTTTTGTTTTTATAGTCGAAAATAGTTTGATTCCAAAGCACTTCATGTTCTCTATAAAAGCTAATTAACTTAATAATATTGTTTGTAATCTCTTCACTCCATCTCACTCAGTAGATCATCACTCACAACACGCACGATACGAGATAAGTCACAACAATAACGAGGTAGCCGTCCAGACAGGGTACTGAGTCGAGATACAGGGTGGTGCGAGTGATCACGTGAGTGAGACAGGAGGTGGTAGCGTAGGGGATGGCGGAGAAATGTTTCTGTTTCGTGTTTCAACGGCTCATAGTGACCGAAACTAGTGTTGCAAACAAAGAGTTTGCAACTCCCTTTGATCTTTACCGACTTCAAGTGGAAACAAAAATTTCTGTTGCAAACACCGAAAAACTGTTTGCAACAGCGAAAAGTTTCGTCTGAAAATGGGCGTTTTTAGAGATGTTTGCAATTTCTGTTTGCAACTCGTGTTTCAAACTCCGGTGTAAACGCGGCTTTACACTGCTAGAGTGCCCACATGGCCAGTTCGCCCCTGGAGCCATGGACTGAATTTCTACTTCAGTAAAAAAACCTGTACTGTAATGTATATATGTATATTTCAAATAGTCAATAATAAATGTAGTTACCCCAATATTGGCACTGTGTTGGATGGGGGAGGGCTGGCCCAATGTAAGCCGGATGAAATGTTACGTTGACCTCCGATTATTGGAATCATACTGACTTTTTACTCCACTCCTTCCTTCCTATGACTGACTACCTGGAACACAAATCAAAAGGAGTGTGCAAGAAATTTTGTTAGTTTTGTAATCTCAACGATAGAAAATGATCAATCTTCTCATACATAACAAAAATATCCCCGCCGCAGCAAACCTGCCGTCTAAGCGAATTTCCATTTGGCTGAATTGATTTTCAATCGATCTATTTAAATAACATTAGGTTTAACGAGTACTTAGGTTTGCTGCTACAAGGAAACTAATAAAGTGTGTGTTTTAAGTAAAATAATTATTGCTTAGTAGAAAATGAATATATTTGCCAAGTTTGATCAAAAGATATCCATAAACAAGCAAACTACAACATTTTACAATATTCTCCATAAGAATAACATGGGAATTTTAAATTTAAATTTTTTTTATTTTTCTCCGTAACCAATAACCGTACAAAAACACTTTGATATACTGAATTGTTTGTTTTTTTAAGCTCTTTAAGAAGGTTTAGAGAAAAATTGGGAAATTTTGTGTTTTGAGGGTCAAAAGTGAGAAAAACCAATTTTTACCCCATAAAACCCTGTTCCTATAGTCCGATCATGCTGGATCGCGAACTCATTCAAGTTTATCCCGCCTTACACCTTCAAACCAAATGTAGTGTTATATAGTCAATGGTAATAGCTACTTCCCTATAGGGAAATTCGCTAAAAAAAGGAAATAGTGATAAATACAAAGTAAAGATAAATACAAAGTAATGATAAATACAAAGTATTGATGGAAAATGTCCGCAGTATTTTTTTTTTTAAATCATCATCTCCAAAAATTAATTTTAAACAAAGAAATTTATTTGATTTTATTTCCAATATTCTATTTTTCTGAGATGAGATGAGTCATGGGTGTCTATGGAAATGGGCTGAGACCCCAAGTCAAACCATGGATAAAATATAGTCCCTTATTAGATTTCCCATCCTTATGGAACAGCTGAAGCCAATTTTATTGTTGTGTTTTGTTTACAATTTGTTTCATGTTATTTCAGTAAAAACTTTGTTTAACTAAATAAAACTATCTAATCATAAACAATAACTCGTCCACTAGCTATATAACCAAACAGCGAGACAGAAATAATGAGAAACTAACCCTAAAATAATAGAAACAAATTGTAAACAAAACATGGTATATCTATAGAAAACCGGACAGAACTAACAATAAAATTGGCTTCAGCTGTTCCATAAGGATGGTAAATCTACTAAGGGAGTATGTTTTATCCATGGTTAAACACATTTCTTTAGATTGTACTGTAGAAACAAAGAAAGTTAATAATTCATGCATATTACCAAGGACTTTAGGTAAGAAATGTGTAAAATAAATCATTTTGTCCCTAAATTTTAACTATTTTCTGAAGGAGGCCCCTCTTTACAGGGAGTTATTTTACAGCCCCATTATGTAAAAGTTAGATAAACCCATGGGTACAGTAAGTGTGAAGGGAAAGGTGCAGATCACAGGTACAGGTAAAACTTATTGCTAGCAACTTACACACACACACATGCTTCTGCAAGTATGGCATCACCAAACTATAGTGCTCTTTTGGCCCTTACAAACCCAGGAATGCCGTTGACTTGTCTACGATGTGTGGCCCTAGCCCAAGTTTTTATTACTCCATTACTTTTTAACTGCTACAGTTAACAGTACTGGGGTTTCATTTGGTATATTTAATCCAACCGCTTATGATTCAAAGATTGTTGTAATCAGTGTTCGATTTGTAGAGAATGAGGTGCCTGAACTGTAACCTATTTAATGTGATATTAGTACCTATTTATGCCAATATTTTTATCCTTTTGAAAGAGAGGTACAGGAACGCCATTCCGCTGCAAATCTAGCACTGGTTGTAAGATATATTTGAATTTTGTAGAGAACAATTCTTATACGGTAGCTGATATCAGTAAAAGTATCGTGTTACATCAAGTTTTTAGTGTCATCAAGAGAATTTTTATATTTCATAGAATATAACCAAAACTATTTGTTCAAGAATAAAAACTCTTGCCTAATGCAAATCTTTTTTTTCTGCAAAAAACAATATCTCACTGATGTTATACAGTATATAAATTAAATACAAGAGATCTAAGATAAGTTATGCATGGAAAACTGGCAGAAAAATACAATATTTTCAGTTTTGGGTTTAAAATAGCACCTAAACTTAAAACTTACCTTATAATGAGGTTTAAAGTGGTTTTACCACTGTCTAAAACTAGAATTAAACTACTATGGTTTTCTAAAATAAGTTATGTTTCAACTAATTAAAAACTTAAACAATAAAATATGTGTTAGACACATGGGGTATATGGGACATGCTAGTACATGGTCTATGCATGTCTTGGAGATTCCTTTGAAAATCCTTCCAATACCTGCTCAGACATGTCTTATCAGTATATTATTGTGTTAAGTTCAACCATTGTTCATTTCAACCCAGTACCCAGTAGTACCAACTTAAAAAAAGAAATTAGGAAATCAATTTTTTTTCATATTAGCAAAAAGGTGTATTGTAAGTTAACCTATTTGCTAACTTACAAGAGATGAGGGTCCAAGAACCTTAGAGAAGAGTAGTTACAGTACTTAAGAGTCGGTGCTCTTCTGATCTATACCTTATATGTAAACAAAATTTAGTTTTATTGTATCCATAGTAAGGATGTGGTCTGAAATTGTAGCCTATATTTTTAATTCTAGTTTTCAGCAGATATGTAAAAGGCACCTCCAGCCTAAAAAAATGTATACACATTTGATAACTAGGAAGATTACCAGCTTTCCTTTACAGCCTTAAGACAGTTCTTCCTTTTAAAATATTGAATTCCCATTAAAACATGGAAAAATTAACCAGATTTGTCTAGTAATCTAATCTGGCCTATTTAGCTGATTGGAAGTCATTGGAACAACAGAAAGGAATGGTTTTTTTTTTATAATTTCTAGAATTACTTAAAATTGATTAGAGTTAGTTCTAGAATTCACTCTTCTACATTTTCTTCCGATCCTCACAAACACTGACGAGTATTTGTGAAGCACTATAGCTTTTTTCATCAAATAGAATAAATAGGTAGTTTCAGAATTTAAGGCCATAAACCCAACTAATAAGTTTCTATTAATAAATAACAATGTAAAATAGCGTGCTAGAACAAGCCTGTGAAACGAAAAACCATGAAAAACTAAGGCTAAGATAAAAAATAATTGTATTAGTATAGTAGGGTTACATGACAACTAATTGAGCTAAACTTCAAAACTAGTAAGAAAACACTAAACATATGATTGAGGTATCTTAGCTGCGGTTGGTCGATATTCTAGCCAATCGGACGACTGCTTTCACTTAACTGATGACTAGTAAATTTTGTCTGCTATTAATTGCTTACTTACTTGTCACTGATGTGTATGTGTGTTGTCTAATCTGGTTCGTTAGTTGAAGTGGAAGAGAAGCAACTCAGTGTTACCGGTAATATAAGCCGTTTGAGAAGATTCGTGATATTAGAAAACCAGGTACCTTCTTATATAATTATTTACCTTTTCTTCTGTGCGGTGATTAAGTTTCAGGAATAAATACCGACTAGGCCTGCAATCTTATATTTCCAGCCAATTCATTTTCTTCTGTCAGTTAACCATTCACCATGTCTAAAATAAAAGCCGGTCCAGTTGTTGATATTTTGGGAGATGAAATGACTAGAATTATTTGGGATCTCATAAAGGAAAAACTAATCCTCCCGTTTCTTGATATTGAATTGCACGTTTATGATCTTGGTATTGAAAACCGAGACAAGACCAACGACCAGGTCACGGTTGATTGTGCTGAAGCAATTAAAAAATATAACGTTGGGATCAAGTGTGCCACAATCACTCCAGATGAAAAAAGGGTAGAAGAATTCAAGCTTAAACAAATGTGGAAGTCTCCTAATGGAACGATTCGTAACATCTTAGGAGGAACTGTGTTTAGAGAGCCAATTCTTTGCAAAAACATCCCTCGACTAGTAACTTGTTGGGAAAAACCAATCATCATTGGAAGACATGCTCATGGAGACCAATACAAAGCTACTGATATGATTGTTCCTGGAGCAGGTAAACTAACACTAACCTTCACTCCCTCTGGTGGTGGAAAGCCGATTGAACATGTCGTCCATGATTACAAAGGTGCTGGTGTTGCTTTGGCGATGTACAACACTGATGAATCCATTGTCGACTTTGCTCATTCATCATTCAAGTTTGCTCTAGACAGAGGCTATCCTCTGTATCTGAGTACAAAGAACACCATCCTGAAGAAGTATGATGGAAGATTCAAGGACATTTTTCAAGAAATTTATGATAAGGAGTACAAACCTAAGTTTGAAGCCAAAGGAATTTGGTACGAACATCGCTTAATAGATGACATGGTTGCTTATGCAATGAAATCTGAAGGAGGCTTCGTATGGGCATGCAAGAACTACGATGGTGATGTACAGTCTGACTCCGTTGCTCAAGGATATGGATCGCTGGGTCTGATGACATCAGTTCTCATCTGTCCAGATGGAAAAACCGTAGAAGCTGAAGCTGCTCATGGAACAGTCACAAGACACTTCCGTATGTACCAACAAGGGAAAGAAACCTCTACAAACCCAATCGCTTCTATCTTTGCTTGGTCAAGAGGCTTGATGCATCGTGCTAAACTCGACAACAACACTGTTTTGGATGACTTTGCCAAGAAGCTTGAAGAGGTTTGTGTTGAAACAATTGAGTCTGGATTCATGACCAAAGATCTCGCTATATGTATCAAGGGTATGAACAATGTCAAACGTTCAGACTACTTGGAAACCTTCGAGTTTTTGGATAAACTAGCTGAAAACCTAAAGAAAAAGCTCAATGCGTGACTACCTCATGAGGTCAACAGGTATTCTAAACTTTAGGTCTAAATATGTTGTCAAAGCTATATTATTAAATTATTAGGTAGGCTTATTGTTAAGATTTAAGATGGTAACGAACGTTTTATGTCAAAGACTGCAACAAAAATCAATTGGTTTGTATTTTTAAGATAAGACTGAAAAATCAGAATTTGTAAACTAGGGCCACCATGAATAAATTTTATTTCCATAGTCAGGGTTATTTTTTAACTGCAAGGCTTTTTAACCAAGCGTAGGCCTACTTGCTTTCCACAATTTTTTTTTCTTTATAATTAATTCAGTCAAGCATGTCTTTAACAGCATATTTTAAGAAACTTAGCCTAATATGTAAAGATTCACACCAAAAATACTTAGCATTGGTTTAAAAGTCCAGGTTATTAGTTCTGTATTGAAACAGGCACAAGTTATGAGTTGAAGGCAACAAATTTTGAATAGTGGAGGCCTTATAGAATTTGATTATAGGCTAATATAATATTTATTGTTTTTTTTATCTATTGCTTGGTAAAAATGTTTAGATGATTTTTTTTCCTCACTACCGGTACCGTATACATAGTTGTGGCCAGTATTTAAATGTCCATAATTATTTAGGCCTTGTCTATATTTGTTCATTGGGATCTTTTTCAAATTAAATGTGACTAGGCCTGTTCTACATAGGCTACCTACATAATCCAACTTTTTTCAATTTTTTAAACTCTTTTTAACATTTAGGCCTAAATGAATGATTCTTAAGCCTGATAAAAATTATTCTCTCTTAACCTTGCAGGGCAGTTGAGGCTAATCTTTTGCAGGACTTATTTAGATCTAGGTTTTGGTTGCCATCAGGTAATATCATTTAATTATCAACACAATTTTGTGTGTTGCTGTACCTACGTACAATTACCAAATTTCAAATTTAAGACAATTGTTATTAGGTCTTAAAAATAAGTATTAGCCAGTTAGTTCATGCAAAAACTTTCCTATTTAGGCCTATTTTAATACTTTTTTCTTGTTTTAGTTTATACAAATTTGTCATCATAGCGCTTAGTCGCGCTGGCTCCAAAAAAGTAGTTTATAAGTATTATTTGTGTTTGGAATTCTAACTTGATTATAATATTGTTAAGATTCAAAATGAGGCACAAAAGAGCACAATGTGTTTTTTTTTTAGAAGCTAAGCCAATTCATTTTATTTCACTGCATTTATTTTAGCACAAAATGATAGAAGCTGTGAAAACCAACTTTACTAGACCCTTAATAAGCCTGCATTTTTATACTTTATATTTTTTAATGCAATAATTTGTACCTGTCATTTAATTAAATATAGATAATATCAGAGTCTACTTTATTGTGTTAATATATTTTTTATTTATATCTTAACCCATTTATTCTGCCATTTCATTCATTGGTTAATAAACATTTTTACCATGGATTATTCCTACTTATTTAATTACCAATCTCTGAGTGTTTATATTGCAGCATTTATTTGACTAATGCTTTAGTTTGGTAACATTTTGGTTTTAATTACCATGTTCAGACAATACATTTTGAATAACTAAATATATTTCAAACAATCTTAGTATAAAGAAATTTGTAGGTAGTTGAGTTTCAAAGTTATGCATTTCATTGTCTGTTAGCTTTTGACATTCTTATGGATTTCAAAATTAAGTTTTTTTTTATTTTTTCAAAAATAGATATTGCAGAGAGCAATTAGGCTACGGTATCTATGGTGTTCTTCTTATCAGGTTGTTCTGTCTCTATTATCAACAACCTGGGGATGTAAACCAGCAGTGTATGAAGATAAGAGATTTTTTCACTATATGTCACATTATGAACAAAAAATTAAATTTGTTCCTTAAAGGAAATTTCAATCAGAAAAATACTGTGTGTGATTTATCTCTAGGCTTTTGGATTATGGACGGATTTAATAGTCTTGATAATGTACATCTTCAACTAAATAAAAAAAAAAATTGTAAAGAGTTAGTTTTACGTTTTGCATTATTTAACATGTACGGTAGGCCTACCATAGACAAAAAAATCTATTGTCTATGACGGTACTGGTAATGATACTGTATATTGCAAAAGATTAATGTTTTAAAAAGATAACGTTTTAGTCCAAATTAAGGGAAGGTCATAACTTATAATTATTTTTATTGTCGTATAGATCCATGTGTCCATCTGCACAACTTTAAAAATTTATATCATCTCTTGGTATTAGCACACTTCACTTGTTTCAAAATAAATTTTATCATTAAAACATAGGGTGTTGGTTGGCTGTGAAAATGCCATCTTTCAGTACCTTATCTCAAGCAAGACCTCTCTATCTTAATAGACCAGTTATCCAATGATAAATGTGATGGTCCTGTGCTTACTTTGGAGCTCATAAGGCAAATGACAGTAAGTATTTTTTGTTCAAAGTGAACATTTTCAGACATGTTTTAATGGGACTCTAGGTCTAGGCAACTATAGAATCACAGTCATTTAGATCAAGGTATAGGTGATCATTATTATTTAATTGAAAACAAACTTCTCAACTAAAATGGGGTAATTTTTCCTACTTATTGCACATTTTGATTGTGTTCAAAACTGGTTACCGAGGCAAAACAAATAATACAATACCCTTTAAAATTTCACGATTATGTGTCTTAGTGTGAGACAGTAGTTGGGTGAATATAACTTTTAATAAATTACAATAAATTAAATTTGTTGACTTTAGATCTACACCATAATGATTGATTTACCTACCTCAATCAGGTTACGATTATCAACGATCTTTAAATTGATTTTCATAAACTTTTTTGTCTCTTATTTACATTATGATTGTTTTAAACATTCAACTGAACGATCAGCTGTGAAATCATGATTATTCACATTGAAATCTTTTTAAAGAAAGTGGGTCAGAATTTATTGTTGAATCTTTGAAAGCAAACTCTAGAAATAAATCAGTTGCAAGAGGGGCGAAGCCCTAAAGAAAACCTTTAATTACCATTTGTTTCTCCACAAGGTCATAAGCTTTAAGATTAAAATCGTAAAAATCGGTTAAGTAGGATGGCTGGAAAAGGGATGTGACAGAGAAATCCCTTATTGTATTAAGTGTATAGATGGATTTCCTTTGCTATGGTCAGTGGATTTACTAACACTAAAGGGACCATATTATGTGCTGGTATCTTGTCAACAAGGAAAATGAAATTTTAAAATTTTGAAAGAAGATTTCTATTTTTACAAGCTGCTATAAGGCTTTTTGTCTGACCTACACAAGAGACTTGAGGGCTTAATAAGTGAAATACTGACCTCCTGGCTGAACTATTCAATAGTTATTTGTGTACGGTAACTAGTGTCCATAGTGGCACTTTGCTGCACATGAGAGAAAAGTTAACTCACGAGCCGCAGGCGAGAGTGGAAAATTTCTTGAGTACAGCAAAGGCAATTTGCACTCGTGTTACACATTATAACTTGTCAAAATTTAACAAGCTTTCCTCCTAAGGAACAGTCGTTTCCCTAGTACGCATAGTTGCCGATACTTAAGAAAAACCTAAGGAAACGTGGTTCCAATATTTATTGAGAGACATCTTTTATTTTCTTAAAAATAAAGTTCACTAATTCCAAATTTATCTGTTAGCTTATAAATAGGCCTAGGTAATAATATTATTGTGAAACAGATTGCCCTATATTTCACTATTTGTATTGCATCAAATTTGATTGCAAATTTTACTCTTTCTTTATTGATTTCTCAAGATAAAACCACTATAGTCTGAAACAGTTTCTTTAATTTAACAATATTCTTTAATGTAACAACTGCAGTAAAAAATACTATAACTAAATTTGTACTAAATTTTAGAAAGGAAAAAAGGTGCATAATATATGAATATAGTGTATTGAATCCAGGAACTGATCTAATCTAATCTAATGTCAACAGTTTGAGGATTGTATGGCTTGACAGTGAGTGACCTTTGCACTTAAGATCCACTTATCATCTGAATCACTGCTCTAGGTCATTGACACAAACTTGAAGTGGTCTAACTTGGATCTTTAAACATCATTTCCTAAATTTAAATAGACGAGCTGTTGCCCGTCCTATGTATGGGAATTGATCAACTAAGACTGAAGTCATGTAAATATTGCCATTTCTAATCCAAGCAAAGTTTAAGCGCTTAAACATTTATTGTAAACAAAAAGCTGCCAATATGAACATGTAAACATTGTTATTTTCCTATTCTTTCCTCAAAAAGTCGAACAGAAAAATAATTTGCATAACCTTTCCTTTGAAGACTCGGGGGGGGCAGAGCCTCGATTTGTATACATTAGTGGTTATAGAATCTTTCTCAAATAGATAGTATTTTTAAGCAGTATAATGTATACACTTTCAAATACGCTGAGAATTTCCATGTTTACAAAATCACTTAAATTAATTAGTGTTTTGATTGTGTACTAATCCAGATACAATCTATTTGTCTAGTTGGGAAAGATAAAAGTTGATAAAGTTGTTTACTAGTGAATCTGTGCTAGTGTTTTTGGTAAGGCACTGTTATGCTATTCAAATAGATTTGGAGTGAATGATAAAAATATAAAATTGTTTACACTCTGTTTCTTAAATTGCAGTGTTTAGTTTTTCGGATTTGACGTACACTGCAATTTCTCAATAAATAGAAATATCTCTACTGAAACATACTGGGAGCCGAGGACAACTCCATCCTTCGACATAACATTCCTAAGATTCCTTCACTTCACAGACAATTTTGTGCTTAACACAACATAAGGCAGGAAAACAATACCATTTCTGTTTGATTATTTGTAAACCACTTTTTTAACAAGTGAGTTTTCATATATTTATAAAGAGAGGTTCCAAAATGTTCAAATATTGTGTTCCTCCTCAAATCAAGTCTTGATGATGGGTTATTTTATGAAGAAAAAAAATCGGGCCTATCCCTCAAAAATGGAAACTAATGGTACGGTACTGGAAGGGGTTTTATAGCAACTCCATTTAAATAGAATTGTGACACATCCTGTTAAACAAAAAATATCTGGTACAGTAGATTGACCCCTGCCGCAGTAAACCTGCAGTCCAAGCATATTACAATTTTCATTAAAATATTTCCTCATAAAAACTAACTTAAGTTTTCAAATGATGACTTATTTATGTCTTACGGATGATTTATTTTGGTATGCCTGCAAGTACATAAATATACATATATTTATAATTATTTTTTATAGATTATACATATGATACTATAAATATGTATATTTGGACAATTTTCCCAGTAATTTTTTTCCAATGCAGCAACATTTTCATACAATTTTTAAACTGTAGGTGCAGTTCTATTAGATGAAGTAATTCAAGGCCTTTTCATGAATCTTCTAGCTTCCAGTTGTTGGCTCTAATGATGATTATCTCTAATTAAAACATGCTTTGATAAATTTGATTGCTACTTTTATTTTAAAAAACATGTTAAAAACTTTTAATTTCAATACTGTCTCCTCATTAACCAAGATTGATTTAGATTTGCATTACCGACTTAATGAGCCTTAACTAAAATTTATTGATTAGCTTAGTCAAACTAATTAAACCCCTAATCTAACTAAACCCCCTTCCTATATTTTGTAATGTTGATTGTGCTACACTCTCTGTAAGAGTGAAGATTTAATTAGTAATTAACCTAACCCCTCACCCGGCATGAATTATTTATGCACCACATGACTTCCTTTCCTGACTCACAGCAACAATTAGTGAGACTTCAATGAAGCCATTCTTCTGTAAGCATTTTCTTAATTTAATTGAAATTTTGGCTGATGGCTTCTCACAAGAAGCATTATAAAATAATATCTGAAACATTAAGAGGTCCATTGACTAAAACTAGTTTAGAAGTTGTTTATGTGGCAAACATCAAAATCGATTAGTCTTATAGCTGTTATAATCATTCAATGTTTTAAATGTATATTTTTTCTGTGTCAATGGCATCCAACCTTATTTTTTAAGGCAAACGAGTTTATTTTTATTAATGAACTAGGAAACCCGTCAAAATCGACGGTTACCGTTGAGGTTTCAAGCAAGATCATTTAACTATCTACCGATGATAAATAAATCCATTTTTGAACGATTTGGGTTGTTCGTGATTTAGCAGCGTACTTTAGGGACTTCTAATTTTAATAATTAATAGCTGAAATAAAAGCTGGTATTTCACTGAAGGTTCTTAGACCAAAATATATAGGATAATGTAATTAGAACTGGTGAAATACATCTTTAGTTGAAGTAAGAATTGAAAAAAAAAATCTAATTCATGTTTTTTGGTCGAGTAATACATAAGATAAATGAATTATGATGCTTTATGGCAAATCTGTGCGGTTATACCTTGGTTAGAAAAGCCAAACCAACTCGGAAAAGAAAAACCAATAACTTTTAATACATATATTCTTTTCTCTCTTGGGTCATTCCAT